AAATCCTCACTTCTCGTATTTGGGATCTTCCAGCGTCTTCTAGGGAGAATAGTTTGTGACACTACAATGGTTATTCCCTGATCATCAGCTGAGATTATTGTTGCATCCTCCTTCCATGTTAGACTAATCCGCATTCCAATTTGTATTTCCTGCAGCTGCATTTCAATTTTTTCCATTAGTAGCGTTACTAGCTTGTCTTTATCTGAATTTCTTATATGTAGTCCATGACATGTAAAATCTTCTCTTTCTAGGTCTATGTGCATCATGTTGATGTTATGATTATGATGCCAGTTTATTTTTCCACCATTTTTTTTTTCAAATTGACACTATATAAGTTTTGAGTTTGTTTGAATTAGAAACCAGTTTCTCTGTCCATTTAATTTTCTGGCTGTCGTCCTTCCTCTGAAATAGAGACATGCTTTACTTTTGTATGCATATCCCGTTTGTTATCGTGTCCTGGAAAAGATTGGTTTAATGGGCATTTTGAACGCATATTCTCGACAATGTTTCTCATCATTAGTAGTTTCTTTGTTCATATTGCATTTTTAATATCTGTATTTGGTATTTATTTCAAATCGCCAGTAGTTCTTGACATTAAACCACAGTCCAGTCCTCTAGAAGCTCCTGCACGCAGGCTTGTTTTAATGGTTGCTGATGGTTTATGTGCTGATTCCTTTTTTGGGGCAGACACCATCGGGGGACCATCCTATCTCACTAGGATACATTTTAATATTGTCCACCCACCTACACCTTGGTCTTCCCAGTAGTCTCTTTCCTTCTGGCTTTCCCACCAATATCCTATATGCATACCTCGCCTCCCCCATTCATGCTCAATATCACTAGTCAAGGAGGATGAGGTTGGCAGGGCATGTAGCAGGAATGGGGCTTTCCTTCTGGCTTTCCCACCAATATCCTATATGCATACCTCGCCTCCCCCATTCATGCTCAATATCACTAGTCGAGGAGGATGAGGTTGGCAGGGCATGTAGCAGGAATGGGGGAGGCGAGGAATGCATATAGGATATTGATGGGAACGCCAGAAGGAAAGAGAGACTGCAATACAAGAGATCTTGTTGCAAAAGTATTTTTTGCAAGAAGCGAAAAAAAGGACTGTAAAGGGGGTGGCTAGGGGGGAGCACTCAAAATAGCTGCTGAGGTAACATTGATGCGATTGATGTCTCTTCAATATTGAGGAGCGAACATACTGTCCATGGTTTGCATCTTAATCCTCGAGGCAAGGACAAGCTAACGCGACTCATTGCAGAGAGCATTAAAGGCAGACACATTCCAGTTGTCATGGGTGTTCAGAATCATTTTTTAGGATAAAGAGTGCAAGTAAAGTTTATCAGGTAAAAGAAATTGCAAAAGAAACTAATCTTTCGGACAATAATGTAAGTGAACCAATAGAAATCAGAAGAGGTAATTGCAGTCTACTAAATTCAATGAATAATAAAGTACTAAGCATATTCCATCAGAATATAAGAGGATTTAGAAAAAAACAAATGAACTAATAAGCTCCATGAATTCAAATCTTCCACACATACTGTGCCTTACTGAACATCACATGAAACAGCTGGAATTAGAACATCTTCACTTAGAAAATTATAATTTAGGTGCTAGATACTGTAGGAAAACACTGGAGAAAGGAGGAGTGAGTATTTTTGTACATGAAAACCTAAAATTTACTAAAATAAATTTAGAAGATTATTGCAAAGACCAGGATCTGGAAGCATGTGCTCTAAAGTTAGACTCTCCTTTTTCTAATATTTGTATACTGACTTTATATAGAGCCCCATCTGGAAACTTCGATCACTTTATAAATAGATTAGAAACCATCCTAAATGTACTGCATAGTTCAAAAGTTGAATTTATAATTTGTGGTGATATAAATATAAACTATCTCATCGACAGTAATAGGAAACTAAATTTAGACTCTTTGTTATCATCTTACAATCTCTCCAGTACTGTTAACTTTCCCACAAGAGTTCAAAATAATTCTAGTTCAGCGATAGATAATATATTCATTGATAACTCAAAATTAAGAGACTATACTGTAGGACCCTTTATAAATGGCTTATCCGATCATGATGCTCAACTCATAGAAATAAATAATATTGACCTTCAGCCCAGTAATCAACAATATCAAACAGTAAGGAAAATCAACAAGCATACGATGGCAGATTTTGTCACAAAATTAAGTAATGAATCATGGGACAATGTATTTGACAGCAATAATATTGATTCTAAATTTAATTGCTTTCTGAACACATACTTGAGGATCTTTTATTCAAGCTTTCCCTTAAAAATAGTCAAAAATGAAAATAAAAACAAATCCACCTGGATAACAATTGGAATAAAAACTTCATGTAAACACAAAAGACAACTATATTTGGCCAGTAGGGACAGTAATGATCCAAGACTAAAAAGTCACTACAAAATGTACTGTAAAATTTTGTCAAAAGTCATTAAAGAAGCCAAACAGAATAACTATAACAGCCAAATTCTAAAATCAAACAATAAAATTAAAACCACCTGGGATATTGTGAAAGTTGAATCAGGAAAGAAATCTGTTAATGAAGACGTACAAAGTTTGAATATTGAAGGGAAGTCCACTAACAATCCACAAGCTATCGCAAGTGCATTTAATGAATATTTCCTTTCATTAGCTGAGAAAACATATTCCAATAATAATAATAATAATAATAATAATAATAATAATAATAATAATAATAATACAAATAATAATAATAATAATCCAATATACTATCTGTCACGTGCCTTTAACAATTCATTTCCAAATATAAATCTCAAATTCTCAACAAGGAAGGAAATTGAAAACATTATTAAATCCCTTAAGCCCAAAAATTCACATGGATATGATGAAATCTCTACCAAATTACTTAAAGCAAGCTCTGTTTACATCAGTTCACCCTTGAATCATCTATGTAATAAATCTTTATCATCAGGTACTTTTCCTCAACGCTTAAAATACGCTGTAATGAAACCACTTTTTAAAAAAGGAGAGAGAAAATGCATCTCTAATTACAGACCAATATCCATATTGACTTCATTCTCAAAAGTCTTTGAAAAAGTTATGTATAATAGACTACTTGAACACTTAAATTCTAACAACATATTAGTCAAAGAGCAATTTGGATTTAGGAAAGACCTAACAACAGAAAAAGCAACCTATGAACTAACTAACGATATTTTAAGTGCTCTCAATGACAGATTAATTGTGGGAGGGATTTTCTGTGATCTAGCAAAAGCTTTCGATTGTGTTAATCATGATATCTTACTATCGAAATTAAATTTCTATGGAATAACTGGCAAAGCTAATGAATGGATCAAATCATACCTCAAAAACAGGTATCAAAGAGTTGAAATAAATAATAAAAACTCCAGTCATAATGCATTTTCAAACTGGGGAATTATAAAGCACGGTGTTCCACAAGGATCAATTTTAGGTCCCTTACTTTTTCTTCTCTACATAAATGATCTATCTAAAACCATCAACAATAAATCTAAACCAATTCTATATGCAGATGACACTAGTATAATATTTAAGAACTCTAAATTTGAAAACTTTAAAAATGACATAAATATTGTATTTGAAGCCTTAAACAGATGGTTCGAAGCCAATTTACTCTCATTAAATTTTGATAAAACCCATTACATATCATTCACAACTAAAAACAACCACCAAATTGATCTGGACATCAGTTATGCCAACAAATTAATCTGTAAAGTACTTGATACAAAATTCCTTGGAATACATGTAGACAGTACACTGTCTTGGAAAATACATATTGAACAAATTATACCTAAATTAAATGCAGCTTGCTATGCGATGAGATCAATTAAGCCTTTTATGTCACAGGAAACATTGAAGATGGTTTACCATGCCTACTTTCATTCTATTATGAACTATGGATTAATATTTTGGGGGAACTCTTCACATAGTGTAATAATTTTTAAAATACAAAAGAATATAATTAGAATCATTACAGGATGTAGAAGTAGAGATTCATGTAGAGAATTATTTAAGAAATTAAAAATTCTACCTCTTCAATCGCAATACATATTATCGCTTCTCTTATTTGTTGTTTACAACAAAGATAAATTCAAATTAAATTCTGATGTCTATAACATGAATACTAGACAAAAATATAACTTCCACCTACCCTCATCAACTTTATCAGTATATCAAAAAGGAGTCTACTTTACTGGCATAAAAGTGTTCAACAATCTGCCACAAAGTATTAAAAACTTGGGCAATGATACTAAAAAGTTTAAATCAGAGTTAAAGAATTATCTACATGCTCATTCCTTCTACTCTTTAGATGAATACTTCAATGTAAATAGAGAATGATGTAAAATTAAGTTATATTAATTTTTAAGCTAAAATTGCCTGTACTTGTGTATGTAACCTTTTGACTTGTTCTGTATCCAAAGGTACTAACCTGCTTAGGATTTATAGAATGTAAATAAATTCAATTCAATACCTTCTTACCGATTGTGCTCTCGGTGCTGGAGGCCATTTTTAAATTTAGTTCATGTAATCTGGGAATAGATGGCAGCAGCATTGCACCGAGGTGTCATGGTGGCCATGTTGCCAACCCATAACATGAGAGTTTCACGGGGCTGGTCTAGAGCGGTGTAGAGTTAAAGAGTTAAATTCAAAACTCGCGGGGTGACCGCTATGACCGTAAGATGATTATAAGAATGTGCTACAGAGGGCCGGATAGTTATTGTTATTACGGTTATTACCAATGTGATCTATGTTGTTTATTTGCATATATTTGTTTTCTCAGTAAAAATATCTGAGTGATATTTTGTGCCTGTATCATGTGTATGATAATTACCAGTTCTACCAGTACTATGTTGTATTATTTGTACGCTAAATTATATCCCTTCCATTTGGGGTTTTAAGTATAATATCGGACAACAGTGATTTTCAGTACAACCAGTAGCAGAAATGGTGCAGGGAAAGAATTGTGACCATTGTGACTGTGCCGGACTTGTTTTCCAGATCAATTAGGTCCACTTTCTTTTTACATTTCTGGAAGCAGGGAAGAAGGGGTTTGAGAAAACGATAAGAGGAGATCGGAAATGTCTTGTAATTATGCAGATGGTCTGTCACATTACAGTAACAAAGGAAAACTTGGTCTAAAAGAGGTTGGTATTTTGTCGCATGTTTAAGTGTTGTAAAGTATTAATTGATAAAGACTGGTGTTCGAAAGTAGCATCTTGTCAAAGCGATAAGGCCAAAAAGAAAAAGTGGCAGGTACTTAGTAGTTATGATGAATGTGTTGAAGTTTTAATGTGGATCGGTTAACGTTATTCGGATTATGTACTATGTACAGTAATGTAAAGCTCTACGTTTTAGAAATTTGATAGCAGAGAAGATGTAGGAAGCAAAGTTGTGCAACTTGCAGAATGGATTTCTGCAACAAAACATACAGTAATCCATACAGGTGCAGGAATCAGCACATCAGCTGGCATTCCCGACTTCAGGTGAGAAAAACAAATTATGGGTAGTTCAAAATATTTGAATGTGTAGTGTAGGAAATGGTAAATAAATTTCTTATAAGTGGTCGATCCCTGCTTCATTTTTATTTATTGACATTGTTGATTTTAAAGTAGTTGGTTCTTGAACAAAACATGTAGTGCAAGTTTTTAAGTTCCAGTTTCAGATGCCAGGTCATGTTTATATTTGGGTTGCTTCAGTTCATCTCTGAGAGACCTGGTCTTCTGAAGGAAATTAGTTTATAATGTTGTGGGAGAGAGAGATGTGGATAAAAATGGAATGAGCCATTTTTTGCAATACTACAGAACAGAAGTGCATAGAATAATGTAATATTACTTTAAAGGTTTGTTCATAGTTGAAAGAAAGACAAAAACAGCAATTTGAAATATCAGTAGACTATGTCAGTTCTTTGTTTTATGTGAACTAAATATTACTGCAGAGCCTGCTGCCTGCCTCATGCTGGTATCTTACTTGGCTTATCTTTCATCCCTGAATATGGAGGTCACATGTTCCTCCAAAACATGGCTGACTTTCAACGGACTACATGGCATTATATCCCAGGAGACAGAAGTGTTCGTAACCACCTCTGTGAGAACCTCGGTCAGTGCCACATCAAAACTACAATCATTAAATATTAATCTTTACCTTGACAAAGGTCAGTGAGATATTCAGGCAAGTCACAAGGAAAATACAAAACACTTTTAGATATGTAATAAAATTATTTGAATGACATTACAGAAAACACCCAGCTATTTGGTATGCAAGTATCCAGAATTCCCATGCAATAGCCAGACATTAAAAGAAAGCTGTCCGTGTAACAGGCTGTGGAGGTCCATAGGGTTGTGAGATGTTGAGACTCCCACATTTTCTAGACATTCGGCTAACAGATGGCCATGAGGTTGTCAGCCTTACACACTGGCTGCCCTTTACCCCCAGGAAGATTCGTGGTACTCATTTCTGTTAAAGGCTGAATCAACCCCAGGGCCATAGTACAGCTGGAAGTATTAGGTCAATTGGAAAATCCAATGACTTCATCAGGATTCAGACCCACAACCTTCAGGCTTATAGCATAGTTATGCTACTGCATGCCCTTAATGGGCAGACATTTTGAAGAAAATTTAGAATTTTCTAAAGTTACTTAAGAAACAAAGCTTACAACACACATATGGTCACCTGACATGCAGTAGTTCTCCCAGCCATCAGTGACAGCCCTTGCCTGTCATCCTTCCTCAAGTGGGTGCCATTGCAGTCATAGTGATGCATGATTATGCTGGAGGCTAGTGGAATGGGAAAAGTGTAATCAAGTTGTTGTCCTGTTAATCAAGGATGTAAGCACAGTGAAGCTGGTGGATCATTAAATGGAAGCAGTAAATTTTCACCAAGTATCCACACAAACATTTACCTTTTAATCATTTGCCATGTTTCTGTATTTTTCCTCATGTGTTTTTAGTTAATCTTGTACACTGTGTCATTTAATGTATTTTTATTTAATTGTTATAGAATTCGGGCACAATTTTAATTGTAAGCTGGTGAACATTTATTAAAGCACAAATAAGTATTTTATCTTCTGATTAGGGTGAGGTCATGGTCTTGAAATTGGCAGTATACTATGTTTTGTGTTACAAAATAGAAAAGCTGTATCATAATTATATATTCAAGCAAGATGTACAGGGAACTTCCTTTCGCTGTAACTGTAGAATCTGATACAGCAGGTAGAAAGAAAACTTTAGTATGTACACTTAATGAAGTCAATAAAACAATACAATTTTGGAGATTACAATGTTGGTATTACTGATTGAAGGTACTTATGGTGTTGAGATGGTTTCATGTGATACGATATACAAGTACATACCAAGTTTAATGAAGATTGATGCAGGCGTTCAGGCAGTAATAGGGTTTAGCTTAAGAAATTTGAGAGGCTGTAATGTTGGTATTACTGATGGGCGGTATTTATGAATTATGCCATTGAGATGGGTTTAGGTGCCATGAGAAGCATACTGAGTTTCAATGGTTAATAGGGAGTATACACACACACACAGACAGGAAGGTGATTTCATAAGCTTTTATTTTTTCAAAATAAGGGAAGTAGGCTAAAAAGGAGGGACAAAACATGAGTTTTTGCTGTCTGTCATATTAAAACAATTTGCTTTGTAATGTTCTCCATATTTTGATAAACATTTCTGTTTTTAAGAGGCCCTAATGGAGTATGGACATTAGAAGAAAAAGGGTTGAAACCAGAGGTTAATATCTCATTTGATGAGGCAGTGCCAACAAAAACTCACATGGCTATTGTGAAGCTTGTGGAAAGTGGTAAGTTAATTAGGGTTTTGACTATAGACTGATTGACTGAATTGCTATCATGTTTTGTAAAGTAAATGAGGATGATGTTCAAAAACACATCAGTGCTTTTATAAGCTAATATAGTGTTGAACAAGTTCATTGTTATGATCAGGGCTCCAGAAATGTGTTTGACCGCTCACAGTGCGTAATTTGATGAAGATGCATGATGGGTATAATAGTATTTGGACAAACTATATTGTGAGACTGTGAGTGGATTTTGTTGAATTTGTTGTATTTCTAGAACTGTGGTTATGGTTCTGCTAAGTTCATGTGGTTTTGTAAGGCAGTTGTTTTCTAATCATTTGTGCCTGTAGGTAATCTTCAAAACCATATTTTATTATGTCCATTCAAATGATAAACCTTACTGAGTAAAAGCAACACAGCGGGCCACAAACACACACAGGACAACACTAAAGAACCCTCTTCTCGAGAATGACAAGATGGCACACATTCGGCTCCCGTCAAAAGAAATAATAAGAGGGACAACACGAACCAGCTAGGTTTACAAATTCCAATAGAATCTTAACAGACTAACTATAAATATTTTAAAGCATTGGAACAGCCGCTGCAGTTGTAAAGACTATAGATTTTATAGCCAATTGTATATTGTTTATATTGTATGTATATATTTTAACTTTTAGAACATGTACTGTAATGGTGGCTTCTAACTGTATTGATGTAAAAGGTGTCCCTCTGAAGACCGAAACATGTAAGGGCATGAATAATTGAAATAAGAAAATCATAACCAGTCACACTGAACAGAACTAATTAACTTTTTCGTACTGAATAGTATATATAGCAAAATTTGTTTTCAAAGTTACATATGTGTCACACAAGTTATAGTAGTTCTGACACTAAAAAGATTGCTCTCATATTTTAGAATGTAACAAGATGGCACATAATATTTGTATTTATATGCAGGAAAGGTGCAGTATGTGGTAAGCCAGAACATAGATGGTTTACATTTGCGTTCAGGATTACCTCGCACTCACATTGCAGAGTTGCATGGCAACATGTTCATTGAACAGTGTAATCAGTGTGGTCATCAGTTTGTGAGAAAACATCCCACATCTACAGTTGGACAGAAGTGTCTTGAAACACCATGTCCAGGTTTTAGACGCAATGGAAGGCCTTGTCGTGGAAAACTCCATGATACTATCCTCGACTGGGAACACAGCTTACCAGAAAATGACTTAGGGATGGCAGACTTCCATTCTTGGTAAGATACTGCCCATATGTGAACCATGTAATTGGAAATTTTTCAACTTGTGAAAATTATTTTAATGCTTTGAGGTAGTGATACTTGAAAATATCACAATCATATACTATAAAATGTGTAATAAATAATGAAAAATCCATATTACAGGCATATTTTGGGAATTGGTATACTCTGTCTAAAACATGGTTGAATGTTTGTCATACCTTCGTGCTAAGTCTTGTTGGGTGATTGGCCATGTTAAAGTTGAGTTAAACCCCAGCGTTTCAGAAACATTCTCCACTGTCATCATCAGGGTTGATGTCATAACCTTGCATAGGCAATCTTATGGAAGAAAAGTCATGTGTTCAATGAGATCGCTGGTATGGCGATTTTAGTTCCCTATCTATGCTGAAAATAGGATCTAGTAACTTTATAATAATGATGTAATAATCTGTGCCATTATCTAATATGGTTCACCTCCAGAAATGCCATAGACTGAAAGTAATCAAGAAGCTATGTTTGAAATGGAATACCATGGTTTAGCACGAAAATATTAATAAAAGAAAAGTAATCAAGAAGCTATGTTTGAAATGGAATACCATGGTTTAGCACGAAAATATTAATAAAAGAAGGAAATTTCTGGGATTCAATGCTGATGCAATACTTTTACATTTTACATTAGTCGCATGACAGGTTAGGTTTTCAGTCTGTGCATGATGGGTGCCATGCATGCTGACCCCACAACACAAAATGCAAAGAATGGGTCTGGCATTACAGCATCTGAATCGCTACCACGATGGACACGATATGCTAGCCCGAATTTTCACAGGTGATGAGTCTTGCTCCAAGCGCCTTCCATTTGTTTGGCCCTCTTAAACATCATCTTTCGGCTGAACATTTTCCCGACGATGAAGCTGTAGAAAGGGAAGTCACTGCCTGGTTCTGACAGCAGCCCAAAGAATTTTATGCTGCTGGTTTTCAGGGGCTTGTGAAACGATGGGACAAGTGCCTCAGTTTACAGGGAGATTATTTTGAGAAGTAAAAGCATTTTTTCAAATCAGTACTCTTATTTGTTTAAGTTCTATGTATCTGTAGCCAGGAACTCTTGACCACTAGACCACAGAGGCGGTCATTAACTAATTTTAAGACTCCTACTAGGCTGCTGTTACTATATAATACCCTTTTTACTAGGTTAATAAAAAGCAGTAATATCCAGTATGTCGCAAGGTACCACACACTCCCATGCATGTTAATAAAAAGCAGTAATATCCAGTATGTCGCAAGGTACCGCACACTCCCATGCGTGTTTTTATGCACTTAGCTATTGAGAAGATGTCCACCATGATTTATTGAATATATTATGAATTGTATTTAGCAACATTTAATTTATTTTATCATACCAAGCTTCACTTTTACAAGTTGAAGGATTTTTATTCTGGACTCCATTTAAAACTGCAGGTTTAAAAAAAGGAAATTGTAAATTTTACTTTCAGTAACTTCAGTGCAGTCTACATCTGTACATGTGTTTAGACCTCATCCATTACATTTTTGATGTTTCAGTATTGCTGATCTCAGCATTTGTCTTGGAACAACACTGCAAATTGTTCCAAGTGGAAACCTTCCACTCTACACAAAGAAGTTTGGGGGACGCCTAGTCATCTGCAATTTGCAGCCAACAAAACATGTAAGGCTTCTTATGAACAAACTGTAGGTAAAAAAAAAAAGAAATGCTGTCTTAACTTACTCAATTTTGGTTGCTATCTCCTTCAAAATAGTCTCCTTTGGAACATATAGTGATCCTATCGTTTTTTTAATGCTTTAAAATCACCATGGAAGTCATTTTCCTGAATGCTGTCAAGTACTTCTTGCAATTCCCTTTGGATGTCAGACACTGTTGCAAAACGTCCCTTCAGATTCATTTTCAATTTGGGAAACAAAGCGAAATCACAGGGGGCTAAGTAAGGCGAGTAGGGAGGATGGGGAATGATAACCATGTTGTAAGATTTGAGGTTTTCACGGTGGTGACTCTGAAGAAAGCAGTCTTCTGGGAAATGGCGCTGTGTAGATATTGTGTTAACTGATGTTCCTCCGAACGTCAGTGAACACAATGTATACATGGCGCCACATCCCAGAAAACTGTTTTCTCGATAACCATGTTGTTGGTCACAAACTCCGTGGTTTTCGGGGATGTGTGGGTGTCCACATCATGATGGAGCCAGTTGTGGTCATGCCAAAGTTCTGGTCTTTTGCATCACTCATTTTCTTTCAAGCACCTCAAAATGTCACAGTAAAAGTCACAGTTGACTGTAGTGTTAGGAGGAACAAATTCACAGTGAACAATCAATCCCCTTCATGTTAAAAAAAAACAATGCGAATGCTCTTTGTTCAACTCTGAACTTGCTGCACTTTTTTTGCTCTTGGTGATTGTGGGCTCTGACTGAGCGATCGCCACTTCTTGGCAAAGTTAGTACCAACTTAAGCGGATAGAGCGTGCTACGTGGTCAGCGCAATGAATCCCCACAGCCATTAATTTCGGTTTTCTAGACTGGTGAGTGGTCCCCGTTCCAGACCCACTACTTCTCAGAAAATCTGATAGCACCAGAAATTGAACCCGGACCTCTGGATCTGTAGCCAGGAACTATGACCACTAGACCACAGAGGTGGTATAGTTTGCTTGTGGACTAAAACCACGGAGTTTGTTTTGATTGTGGGCTTCTCCACTGCAATGATTATTGCTTTGTTTCTGGATGATAATTGTAAATCCAACTCTCATCACTCATTATAATCCTAGAAATAAAAGTTGGGCCTTCTCTCATAGTTCAAGACACGTTTATGTGCTCCTGCTTTTCATCATTTGTCAAGAGTCGGTGAATAAACTTTGTGGCAATGTGCATGTTCAAATTTTGTTAAGATCTCCTGGCAAACTCCACAAATAACTGATCCCAACAGTGCATGCAAGCTCATGGATTGTTCGGCAAAAGTCTTCTTGTATGAGTTCTCAAATTTTTTCAACATGTCATTTTGCTGGTGCTTGGTCGCCCTAAACGTTCATCATCTTCAAATGACACTCAACCAGCCTTGAAACATGAATGCCATTCAAAAACTGCTGTCTGGCTTAAAGAATGTTCTCCAAAAGGCTCACAAAGCATTTCACAGAAAACTTGAAGCAGACATGTTGTTTGATTTTGCCATCCATCGCAGACAAAATGAAACACAAATTTGAAAAAGCACTGGTGTAAAAAACAGTGTGCGTTCACAGCACAGTGTTACATGGCAGACTGATGCAATAGGCTTGGAGAAATGTGACCTTGGCCTCACCTCTCATCATCTTTCACCAAGGCAGTTACAGCAGTAACAGTCTGATAACTTTCCAATAGTGATCGGCAGAAGTTAGGTGGAATTAGTGGTAACTGATTTTCTCCGTGTACATGGTTATGTGTGGTGAACTCAAGATGAATATTGGGAAGTTGTGTGAAAGTAAACTGACTTTTGTATTATACGGTACCATGAAGAGACCCACTGCTAGGTAACGACCATGAAACAGTGAAACGCCTACTGCTAGGCAACAGTTGAACTACAACAGAGGAATGGTGTCTTTTATGTGGTCTGTGCTATGATATTATAATCAGGACAATTGGAGCAGGTATTAGTGGGCAATGACATGAGAACTGAAGCTGAAGAATCTCCATTGTTGAGATCCGTTACCAGGAAGTGACTAGTGAAAGTAGCATGTGCTCTAGTGATTTGTAAAGTGTGAAGATCAGTGATGGTGCCATAATTACTTGTAGTAACGAGTTGTGTGTGTATAAGCGTTCAGTAAATCCAGTCAGCACTCCAGACCTCATCTGTAGTCACTCATACATGTGACAATATGTAGCTGTATGTATGGCCACAAAAACAAACACGGAACATAAAGCATTATCAGTTTCAGAGAAACTTGGGATCATTAAGAAAGGGGATGCTCAACCACATGTGATGCACACAAAGTTTGTGGAACAGCTTGGCATACCAGTGTTGACACTAAATAATATTATAGCAAGCAAGAAAAATATACCTCAACAATGTATAAGAGTTCAGCCAGGTAGANTTCATTTTCAATTTGGGAAACAAAGCGAAATCACAGGGGGCTAAGTAAGGCGAGTAGGGAGGATGGGGAATGATAACCATGTTGTAAGATTTGAGGTTTTCACGGTGGTGACTCTGAAGAAAGCAGTCTTCTGGGAAATGGCGCTGTGTAGATATTGTGTTAACTGATGTTCCTCCGAACGTCAGTGAACACAATGTATACATGGCGCCACATCCCAGAAAACTGTTTTCTCGATAACCATGTTGTTGGTCACAAACTCCGTGGTTTTCGGGGATGTGTGGGTGTCCACATCATGATGGAGCCAGTTGTGGTCATGCCAAAGTTCTGGTCTTTTGCATCACTCATTTTCTTTCAAGCACCTCAAAATGTCACAGTAAAAGTCACAGTTGACTGTAGTGTTAGGAGGAACAAATTCACAGTGAACAATCAATCCCCTTCATGTTAAAAAAAAACAATGCGAATGCTCTTTGTTCAACTCTGAACTTGCTGCACTTTTTTTGCTCTTGGTGATTGTGGGCTCTGACTGAGCGATCGCCACTTCTTGGCAAAGTTAGTACCAACTTAAGCGGATAGAGCGTGCTACGTGGTCAGCGCAATGAATCCCCACAGCCATTAATTTCGGTTTTCTAGACTGGTGAGTGGTCCCCGTTCCAGACCCACTACTTCTCAGAAAATCTGATAGCACCAGAAATTGAACCCGGACCTCTGGATCTGTAGCCAGGAACTATGACCACTAGACCACAGAGGTGGTATAGTTTGCTTGTGGACTAAAACCACGGAGTTTGTTTTGATTGTGGGCTTCTCCACTGCAATGATTATTGCTTTGTTTCTGGATGATAATTGTAAATCCAACTCTCATCACTCATTATAATCCTAGAAATAAAAGTTGGGCCTTCTCTCATAGTTCAANTGTGCACTCTTTGTGAATGCGTGACAGAGATGGCAGCACTCTACAGCACACAGAACTGTAGTGGTAGCGGCAAGAGTGAGGAGTGTTTTTGATTAAAATGGCAACGTTTTCGTNGTCCACATCATGATGGAGCCAGTTGTGGTCATGCCAAAGTTCTGGTCTTTTGCATCACTCATTTTCTTTCAAGCACCTCAAAATGTCACAGTAAAAGTCACAGTTGACTGTAGTGTTAGGAGGAACAAATTCACAGTGAACAATCAATCCCCTTCATGTTAAAAAAAAACAATGCGAATGCTCTTTGTTCAACTCTGAACTTGCTGCACTTTTTTTGCTCTTGGTGATTGTGGGCTCTGACTGAGCGATCGCCACTTCTTGGCAAAGTTAGTACCAACTTAAGCGGATAGAGCGTGCTACGTGGTCAGCGCAATGAATCCCCACAGCCATTAATTTCGGTTTTCTAGACTGCTGAGTGGTCCCCGTTCCAGACCCACTACTTCTCAGAAAATCTGATAGCACCAGAAATTGAACCCGGACCTCTGGATCTGTAGCCAGGAACTATGACCACTAGACCACAGAGGTGGTATAGTTTGCTTGTGGACTAAAACCACGGAGTTTGTTTTGATTGTGGGCTTCTCCACTGCAATGATTATTGCTTTGTTTCTGGATGATAATTGTAAATCCAACTCTCATCACTCATTATAATCCTAGAAATAAAAGTTGGGCCTTCTCTCATAGTTCAAGACACGTTTATGTGCTCCTGCTTTTCATCATTTGTCAAGAGTCGGTGAATAAACTTTGTGGCAATGTGCATGTTCAAATTTTGTTAAGATCTCCTGGCAAACTCCACAAATAACTGATCCCAACAGTGCATGCAAGCTCATGGATTGTTCGGCAAAAGTCTTCTTGTATGAGTTCTCAAATTTTTTCAACATGTCATTTTGCTGGTGCTTGGTCGCCCTAAACGTTCATCATCTTCAAATGACACTCAACCAGCCTTGAAACATGAATGCCATTCAAAAACTGCTGTCTGGCTTAAAGAATGTTCTCCAAAAGGCTCACAAAGCATTTCACAGAAAACTTGAAGCAGACATGTTGTTTGATTTTGCCATCCATCGCAGACAAAATGAAACACAAATTTGAAAAAGCACTGGTGTAAAAAACAGTGTGCGTTCACAGCACAGTGTTACATGGCAGACTGATGCAATAGGCTTGGAGAAATGTGACCTTGGCCTCACCTCTCATCATCTTTCACCAAGGCAGTTACAGCAGTAACAGTCTGGGAGATTATGTTGAAAAGTGACAGAAGTTTCAAATTTTTTGTATGATTATTGTGTGAGAAAAAAATCGGAGACCTTAGAACTTGAACGCACAACGTATTTCAAAACAACATTTCAGAGACAGGATTCTGACTCCATCTTCAGATAAAACCTCAGAGACAGAATCCAGTCTCTGAAACGTTATGTTTTGAAATATAAACAGGACAACAGATAATGTCCAGAAACATATTTGTACAGGTAGAAAGGAGTTAAAAACATCTAAACATGAGTTGCCTGAATCAGTGCTCCTTGAGTGGTTTAGGCAGAAACAGACATTAAATATACCAATTCAAGATCTTATGTTGCATAAGAAGGCTGAAGTAGCCTTAAAGCTAAACATTGAATTCATACATTCAAATGTATGGCTTATTAACTGAGAAAACATGCAAGGCTTAGCTACCATTGGGAACTTGAATATTTTTTATATTCGAAAGACAAGTGAAGCAAATGGCAGTAGAATGTGTTCAAGAACAAATAAGATTTCAGAACAAACTGTTCAACCAAGCAATGGCAGCAGAACAGATGATGTATAGTTAAATGTATTTTATGTGTTTTTAGCTGTTTATTGAGTGTAAAAATATGTTAATTCATTAGTTTTGTAAAAGGGATACAACTAATTTTGCAAACATTTTGAAGCCTACTCTTTTAAAGCATTTTCCACCTTCAGGTGTTTATATTTCTTTGTTGTTTGGAAACTTCTTACAAGGGATACACTGTATATAACATGACAAAATTATAAATATACATAATTTGTCTTGCTGTCAGCACATTTCGAGGAAATTTGCACTATAAATAGTCACTTTCTGAATAATTACTGATACAGGTTATCTTTTCTTCTAGCAGGACCGCAAAGCAGATCTCATAATCCATTCATATGTGGATGATGTAATGGTGCAGCTGATGAAGTTGTTAGATCTGCCTATTCCTGAATATAGCAGAGAGAAAGACCCAACTAAATTAGTTTCAGGTGACAGTGGAGCATATACAGATTGGACAATTCCAGATAGCAATGTGAAAATTATGAGAACACTATATGAGGAGAAATGCTGCAAGCAGTCTAAGAAGAGGGCATGCAAGACAGATATTGAAAGGAAAGATGATCTGCATTTTGAGCAACAAAAAAGGAAAAAACCAAAAGAAGAAGAAATGTATAAGAATAGCATTTGCACCTCACAGACACAGGATGTAACAGAAATTGTTACACATGGTCTAGAAAGTAAAAGTAATGTGACAGCAGCTGTGAAGGGTGATCAGGAAGATGTTAGAGATAATACAGAATATGAAGTAAAAATTGAAAATGACAGTGAAGGAAAATCTGAAGTTATTATACAACATCCTCAGGACATACCACCCAGTGAACTTCAGCACGAGGTAGGTGTAATTGAGGTACATTGCCATTGAATGCCAAGCCCTCAGCTTTTTGTATAATCTTTAACCTATAAATCTTTTATTTGATACAGCATAATATTTGAACATTTTTCCTGGCTCTGGTTTGGGAAGTCTGGAAGTGTGATCGTAGAAAAAAGAACACTAATTATGTCAAAGGAGTCCAAGAAAACAAGGTCAATGCAGATAATTTGTTGAATTATCATTTCTGTCACAATTACTTCGATGCGTACGTAAATACTCATAATTTTTCGTTTACACACACCCAGAAGTGCATTTAAACTCATAATTAAGTGGTTCTCAGGATGAATCAGTGTGTTAGTGTGGTTTATAGAATGATTCAGAGTTTGTGAAATGTATTCATACAATAAAATGTGATGTATTGAGAGTCAAATTAAGATCTTTTGCTGTATTATGGAGTTTGTATATTAGAACTCTTGTTAAGTTGCTTCCATGAATAAAGTTAACAGTTTCTTAATGTATGAACATGAAAAACCTAGTCCAAAAATCTTGGTTTAGGTTATCACATACCCTCAAAAATTGGAGAACTTCCCTTATAGTTTCAGCTATGTGTGCTTTGTGAGATTTGGGGTTTTCAAGGTGATGACTATGAAGATTACTGTCTTCTGGATTGTGAGGCCATGTAGTCTGATAGATCAGTACAGATGTTTTGGGAAACCTATTGCCATTAGGGTAGAAGAGTAAGTCATACCATTCCTCCTTGAAGATGGAGGCATCAGGTTCCTCCAAAGCTCTGATAATGATCTACCAGACTACACAGATCACAATTCAAAGGACACTACTCCTTATATTGGCTTTGTATTCAACAACAGCCATGATGTTCCATCTAAGCTAGAATTTTGTACTGGCCTAGTTCCCATTTTCAGATACATTATGTCCGGAATGCAGAAACTGCAATGTGTTACATAAAAATAAAAATTGTGAGTGTATACTTGGAGGTAGAGATTGTAAGATAATATTAAAATAGATCTTAGAAACATAGGATGGGAGGATTTGGATTTAATTTATATGGTTCAAGATATGAACCGGTGATGGGCTGTTGTGAACATGCTAATGAATGTATGAATTTATGCAGTCTGTTAAAATACTGAAACCATCTTTATATTAAAATTCATAAAGCAAATAAAATGTGCAGTGTAATTTCTTCAAGTGGTCATGTGGACCTTTCCTCTGGTCAGCCTTTTCTCCATTCTTAGAAGACCTGATGTCCCAGTTTATTGAATTCCTGGGGCAATGGTGTTTCTTACACTAAGTCAAGTTTTTACTAACTGAGGTTATACAAAGTTACTGTTCATTGATTTCATGTACTCATATATAAATTATAATTTCTTTATGAACACTTACAATTATATATCCAATAATATCAAATTAATTTCCACGAGTATCTGACATTGCCTGAAAGATGAGGCAGTAACTGTAATGTGCCCTGGCCACATCATGGGCACTGTGCAAAGTAATGTTTGTGATGGGGTTGCTGTCTGAAGACTCAAATCATGCTACTATGTGTACTAAACCGACCGAGGGTTGCTTCTTCCACTCACTTTGCCATCACATCTACAGTTATCTCATGCTGCCTTGGTGACTGGCAGAATACAGGAGAGAGAAGAGCAAATATACTCGACAACTAAACATATTATAACCTAGGAAAAAAGATAAAATATGAATAGATTTAGAACATATTTTAAGAATGCCAACTTATTGAATTCCTCAGAAGCTGTTTGATCATTACCCTGGTGGAAGAAGAGGAAGTTGGCCACTGGTTCAGTTCATCTAACCCAAAGTTTGGAACATATCAAAAAGCTGATCATACTAATTTTTAAAATAATAATAAAAAACAGCGACTGTGAGGGAACATTTTCTTCATATGGAAAACATGAACACTTTTTCTCAATCACAGAGCTTTGCTAGTTTGGTTTTGCTATTGGATAATGCAATGAAACTTATCAATTCATTCTGGAGACCTAACTCAAGCATTTGCTCGTAAAAGGAAACACCTTAACGTTTTCAGAGCCAGTCAGAGAAAGCAACAGTTAAATACAGACAAATTTAAAATGGTTCCAATTTATGCTTCTGAAGGCTTACATGAATGCCTGAATGAAATGTGATTCCTTTGTCAGGATTTACAAGCTCTTCACACACTTAAAAATTATACATTTTTGTGCATTTGAGGTCTGCCAATGAATAGTAAACATACTTGCTGATTATCTTGGAAAATTGAGTTTCAACTTCTGTTACATCAAGTACTAGTCTCTGTACTGTCATTTGGCTAGAATATTTTTGCAATTATGCAACATGCGTCTTTTAATTACAAAATCAGCTAAGAAAATGCCTTTGTAAATGGACAATTAATTGGAACATGCCAAAACTCGGCTGAACATCGCTGAGAAATCAGAACACTTTTTAGCAGACTTCCAGTTCCTGAATTAGAGAAGCTACTTTTGTGTTTTCTGAGGTCTTCTGGATACACCTATAGTTGAAATGTGAATGTTCAATTTGAAAATAATGCTACCATTATTCTCATAAAAAAATTCTGTCCAGGGCTCTTTAAATGATCTGTTCTTTCTTCTACGTCTATAGATGTCATAACCATCTGACCAGTTAAAAAGCATTTATTCTCGAGTCTAAGCCCCATGCCATGAAAGTTAACCAAAGGTGTTGTACACTTAACCTTAGTGTTAGATACGTGATTAGTCAGCACTGTACTTCACCCACTTTATTCCTGGGTATAAATAATAAGGGCTGATGATGCATTCTGGACATTCTAATGGAACATAAACTGAAATATATATCAAAACTCTAGAATATATATCTTTCATTAAAATCCATTAAGTAGTTCAGAAGCTGAATACAGACATATGGCACCCACCCCATAAAATGAAACATCCCCAAAAATGGCATTTCTTTGGTACTCTATTCACTCTATGCTGTTTCTGCAAAGAATGCAATACTCAGGACCTTAAATGAGTTGGGTAGGACGATGATAATAAGGTAAAAAGGTAAAGTTGTCCCTGTGCTTAATGAATTAGGCACTATGCAATGAAGGTGTATGGGGGAATGGATATATAGATCCAAATAATAATATTAATACTAATAATAAACAGTACTTAATATGTTTATTTTTTTTCTCCTGACATCTTTATTTCAGAGGTATGAATCTTGAGCTGTGGGTAGCACCAATACCTGGCCTACCATGCTTTACAGGCTTGTAGGTAACACTAAATTCGCCCAAGTAGTGACCAATCATCTCTGGCTGAAACAAAATTATGAAATGCAGCTGTTGAAAATAGTCAAAATCATTAATATTTTTGCAGTAATTTCAAATATCACAAAATAACAATGGACCAAAGTATTTTAAAGACTAGCTACTAAGTGAACCACTATAACATACTGTAAATACGCATCTCAATAACTTCAGCAAACAGAAAAACAATACTGATTAGGGGCATTACAGAGGCAAAATTTATGTGTGATTCTGATGTCTGGAGTAACAGGCAATTTGCTGTAAAACTGAGTGGGCATCCACTTGATGGCAGGGTGATCACATCATTTTGGATCAAGCATGTGATTGCATACACATCATAATAAGTATTGCTATCCTAAAGTACCTTCAACAAATTATGGCCAATGCATGTGTCACGTGAGATGTGGCTGTCTGGCTGAAATGAATTCTTGCAATATTACAGGCAAACAATCCTGTTCTGACTTCACACATTCAGTTGAACTAGTCAAGGAAAAAGGGCATGTCATACTTTGTGTACACAATCTTATGAACAAAAGTCCTGCGTGCTGGACAAGGTATCCCATGTGACAATTATAGGGACCACTCTTTATAGGTTGCACATATATTTGAGCAACCTGTTGCATTGATGTATCACTCTCATTCACCTGTCTTTAATGCAACTTCAAATAAGTTCAAAATCTCTCTTTAATGTAAAATAACATTAAAATCACACCAACTGCTACATGTTTTGGCCTTGCTTGGCCATCTTGACGCAACTGTTCACTTTTTGGAAACCGTCACACTGCACTATATCTTAAAGTCAATATATTCCCATGCTAGTGTGTTATCATTGTCCACACTAAAATACATTTGTCTGAGAACAAAACTCTCTCACTGTTCTGCATCATCTTCCTTTTGCGCAGTCCATGTCTGACCCCTTCGTATGTATGTACTCACTATTTGGGCATATGTCCCTTGTATCTAGTGCAGTGTGGCAATTACAAAAAGTGAATAATTGCCTGAGATGGCCAGTTAGGCTGAAACATGTAGCAATTGATGTGACTTTAATGTTATTTTGAATTAAAGAGACCGAACATTTTTAAGCTGCATTAAAGACACAGGTGAATGAGTAAGAGGTTGCACAATTTAATATAAACTGTTATAAAATCTTTAACATATTTATATCTGCAAATAATCTTGTCATATACTGCATTACAATGATGAAGTTCCCATAAAAGCACATCTGTAATAAGTTGACATGTAGGAGAGTGCAGTGTGTCTGTTATATCCGTTACTTTCTCATAAAAATAATTCTATCATTGTGACATCAACATATTAGTCATTTGCTAGAATCTCAGTGGGCAGGGCTTCTGTAGGAAGATGGCAGCTGTACCACTCTTTTAATATTTATCCTGTATTATATACAATATAAACAACATACTGAAATTTCTCCAAAAATTTTGCATCTATAGCCATCATGGCTATTTCACACTTCCATTGTTTCATTTGAAATATTACTCATGTCCAAGAGGCATCATATAAAGAACCGTGACTACAATGGAAGAATTTCAGATCTGCAATTTACCAGTTTAACAAACCTGTTTTCTCAATAAGCAGTGCTATAGTAAAATACCAATATAGAAACTAAATATGTCCATTTTGGAAGATAATGGTTTATGTTTAAACATTTTGTTTCAACTAAATGAAGGAAGAAAATGAGATATTAATTCAAGGCTCATTTTTAATTTAAAGTCAGGTGATCTGGCAACACTGTTACTTTCAATGTTAGATAATGCAACAAGAGAGAGCCCACATGGGAAGTCTGGATAATGCATCCAGTATTCACTGAACAGCAGCTCATTACATCACTGTGTGCCAACTTTGTCCAGATGTGAAAATGAAGCATAAAACAGAAGAGGGTGAATGTGAAATTTTTTGTTAAACTGCAGCAATTTCCAAGTGAAACATCAAAGTTGTTAAAAACAGTTTATGGTGAATCTACTATGAGCAAGAGCAATGTTTGTTACTGGCACAAATGTTTCAGAGAAGGCAGATAAGATGTGAACGATGAGAGGCAAGATGCTCCCATAATGAAGTGAATGGATGAAAATATCGTTAAAATCAGGGAACTTGTGCAATCTGATTGTGAGTTATCTTGCAGGATGGTACTTGATGAGCTTCGTATGAGCAAAGAAATTGTTAGGAAAATTTCAGTACAGGATCTTGGCATGAGAAAGTTAGCAGCAAAGCTCATGCTGCAAAATTAAAAGTACATTATTTCAAGCACTGCACTGAAAATTTCACTATTTAAATGCAAGTCACAAGAACAGAAATACCAGACCTTGATAAAGACATTAACCAGCTAATGCATGGAACATTTTTGTTGCAGCACAAACAAATAATTTTCTAATTTTAGCAAACAGTCACTTCATAAAATGATTATGATAAAATGAAGCCAATAATATAATTTTTCCTTACCTTCACTTCCACTTGATTGAAAGTCTTGCCATTATATACACCAACGATGCTGCCAACCATTTCAGGAACTATAATCATGTTGCGCAGATGGGTTTTTACAATTTCAGGCTTTTCATTGGGAGGGGCTTCCTTCTTGGCTTTTCGCAACTTCTTAACAAGTGCCATTGGTTTGCGCTTAAGCCCTCTACGAAAACGTCGTCGAGCACGAGAATGCATCAACTCCATCAACTGTTCTCTAGATATAAAATATAAGATTGATATAACCTAATATCATCACTAAGTACTGCTACATGTCAATATGTCAAACTGAATGTTATTCAGAGCCAAGTCCAAAAAGCCAATACATTTTTGAAACACAAATATGCTTTATCATATGGTTCTGCTAAGAGAATGGATGGAAGTCAGAGTAGTGATGGAGAACAGTTAGCACTGAGTAACTAACCCACTTACTACACTGAGGTCTTGAGAATCCATCAGTCGCTCAGCTACTCATATTCACAACAATTTATGGAACCCAAAGGTGCAAGACCATGCTCACAAGAGCCCACCATTGGTCCCTGTCCTCAGCCAGATGAATCCAATTCACACCACCCTATTCTTATTCTTGAAAATCCATTTCAGCATTATCCTCCCACGAACATCTAGTCTTCCTAGTGGCCTCTTTCATCTAGGCTTTCCCACCAAAACCCTGTACACATTCCTCTTCTTCCCCAAATGTTGTGAATAAACTTGCCCTATAGCCTCCTTACATCGTATGTCCATTTTCCTTTGCTTAGGTAGTTTCAAAGAATCCACTCAAGTTCAAAGTCCTGTTTAAATCGCAGTGAACATTACCGTAGTTCTATTCACACAGACTGCTCTATGCAGAAATCTGATCAAATGTACAGCTGCCATTAAACCAGCAAAAATTCCATATTTTTATCCAGTTAAAACAAATCATTGAAACTTCATTTGCTGGTGAACTTGGTTGCAAAGTGGCTATACTTCATGCTGCCCTAAGGCATTTTTGGCAACAGGGCAATACAACTGCTGTGTGTCACTTCCGCTAATCTACTATCATCAATGTCTGCTATTTATTCTGCAGTATGTTAAAAAATAACTGCCCATAAATATTCAAACTTTCGCGTTCACAACGCCTGTTACTTACGCTGGCATATCCAACAGCTGATCCAGGTCCACTCCACGAAAAGTAAACTTCCTGAAAGTCCTTTTCTTCTTCTGCGTTTCTTCTTGCTGTAATTTGAAACATAGAACCACATGAACAAAACCGTCACGCCGATAGTTTACCATCTTTTATGCAAGTCTGTCGCAAAATTTTTATAGTTATTTAGGTTTGCTGCTAAAATATTAAGCCAGTAGTATTAGTTTAATGTTTTACACTTTAAAATGTAGTGCAGATGAGCTGGATAAATACAAATTTCACCATTACCACAAATCTTACCTCAGCCATTTTTACGCCTCGTCCAAAACTTCGAAGGAAACTTCAACCATCAATTTTAATTAGTGGTTCAGAAATCTGTCACAGTTCTGGTTCCGGCGCTAATAGCAATACCTTGAGAATTGAGAAGCGCGGAGAAGAACGGACCAGGACGTTAAGAAGTCGAGAACGTCGAGAAGTAAACGAAATGGGTGTAAATGTAGTATTAGGAATTCGATTGTCACCAAATTCTTTTCAGCGAGTGACATTGGGTAACATTACTTTAGACTCAAAAGTTGAACACTTAAAGCTGGAAGCTTCAAGGATAACAAATTTGCCTAGACATTTTCTAGGTAAATGTAGAGACGCACTTTTAACATGGTGGCATGATCTGACATTTCGTAATTATTTATTACAACTTGTTTACGGGTAGGTGTTAGTGTGAACACTTCGCAGAATCGGCTGAATTATGTCATAACGTACACCGGACGATTCGGTTGTACTGTTAACACCCTGCATGGCATTTATCCAAACTGAAGTTTCAATAGGAACCAACAAAATTCTTCCATTAAGGTTAAGTCCATATGTAAACGAAATTCGATCGTCATTGTGAGTTTCGAGGTAAGAGATCAACTACTGCCAAGATCTTTTGCTTTTGAAAGATACTGGAGATAAAATAGGAGTACAATGAGACAGTCTGTCAGCATTTATAGATTTCAAAAAAAACCTTGACACATGATCTGCATTTGCTCTATTCTGAGTAATATTTGTAATATGTTTAAACTGGAATTTTTTTCTGGTTTTTCTAGCAGTCTGAATCTTCTGGCCCAACTTACTTACACCTCAGAGGTTCAGTGATTTGTAGGACACTGAAATGTTCTCACTGTATAAAATTGTCACTTTACTTTAAAAAAAAATTAAATGATGACTGTTAGAAATATTATTAGAGGATTATGAAGAATTTTATTACCCATGCGTGATGTTAGAATTGTACCTTCCCTTGTACAAGCTGGTTAGGAAACTAGCAACATTTTTCAAATTCTTTAAATCATCATGATTACATAATGTCGTGACATCCAACTCCAGAAAGTGATTAAAAGATTTGTCTGCTTAAAGGCACAGTTGTTTGTTGGAAATTCTTCACCTTTGTGTCCCTTACATTCAATATGTATGATGTCATATATTCTTATGTACGTGTACTTCTCTTTACAGAACTAGTTTACTGTGGAAATATTTTGGATGATGATTCAACACTAAAGTCTTGTGGCCTGAAGCCTGGTGTAATGGTTCATGTATTGAAGAAGAAAGAGAAGGGTTTGTATTTTCATATTTGCATACACATAATTGTGCTGGTCATGGTAGCTGAGCAACCTGAGGCATGTACTGCCTTCGCTTGCTCGGAAGCTGTGATCATGGGTTTGAATCTGACACAAGGCATGGATGTTTGGTATATGTATGTGTTTATTCTGTGTCTGCATTGTCCTGCATTTAGTTAGAGGCCTTGTGGCGTGCTGATCACCCACCCAAGCAGTCCTGCCATCTGTAAAATGATCATGAAACTGAAAANCGAAACATACACGTCGAACCCCCCCAGACGATTTAAATCCCTGACGAAACATACACGACGAACCACGGCAATGGGTTAATATGTAAAATCATGTTTCTTCTTCNCATCAGATGGCAGGGCCCAAGGGGACTGTAGAGCCAATCGAAAATAAAACATAATTGCGTATATTGTACTTTTAAGTGAGATGGTATCATGTCATTGTAGAAGAATGTATTATGTGTAGCAATAGAGAGTATCTTAACATGTAAAATCATGTTTCTTCTTCATGTAAATGTAAATAGAAATTGGTTACTTTATGACACTGTCACAGTCTACACTGATTAGTGCAAATGGTAGATGATTGATGAATTCAAATGAATTGGATGGAATTGGTTATGGTGTAATTGAGATACTTTCCTGTCATTTGCCTGGAAAGACAGGAAAAGCATGATAAACCCCAGTCAAAATATCTGGTGCCCCAGTTGAAATTTGATCTGAACACATTCTGAATATGAGTCTAGAACATTATCACTATCTCAGCCCACTTTGTAATAACCATTTATTTCCAATCACATTAATTTGTATTTTAATGGTATCTTGTTTGAATTTCATTGGGGGACACCATCGTTCAATTGTTCAGTTCAAACGTTCGTAAATCCAGATACAGGTAGACACCACAGGATATGGAACAAGTCAAATACAATATAAATACAATGACATCTGTACAATAAAAGCCAATTTGAAAAATTAATAAGATTACAAATTACTTAAATATAGGTTAAATGTACTTATACATTATAATTTGAGTCTGTTAACAGAAACAGTGTCGATGAGTACATCGCTAATAAGTAATAAGATTATAAATTATGTAGATACAAGTTAATTATACTTGTGGATAAAAACTTTATTTCTTAGTGAAATACAATGAAAAATTTAAGAGAGTTAATTTTAAAATGATAGCTAATATCATGTTCCTTCAACGTAGACATTCGTTTGCCTGTTGGATCAATGACAGAAGCTGATGTTCAAGAGCTGGTGATGGCATTCCGCACCTTCACACGGCACCCTAGTTACCGAAGTGCCTTGCATGTGAGTCACTTCATTAGTTTGTAAGCTGTATTTCAAGTATCATGAAAGTATTAATTTTTCTTTCACTCGGATGAATAAAGAAAGCCTACATGCCTGATGGATGAAGCAGGGTGTAATTGTATGACACTCTGTGCTGGGATTCAGTATCACACTGATCATCAGAGTACTGTTAACCTTATAAGGTGTGTGCTGCATTAATGTAGTGGCATGTACTTGGTCCAGCTAGTCGAGCATTACAGTACAGCAGTGCTAAAGTACTCCTTTATTTCTAGCCAACCCATAACACTTGTTTCTTTGGAACTTTGTGCATTGATCTGTACAGAATTCTGTAATGTGTTTCTGCTATGAATTGTTTACAAACATCAATTCCAGAAATGGCATTGACAGAAAGAATCAACTTCTAGTCATGTCTTGTCCATGTGATGTTTCTCTTGACAATGAGACACTGAACACTGAAGCAGAGTCACTTGTGTGTTAGGGTGAGTGGTAGTTTAAGGGCTATGATTGGAAGAGATAATTCAGACATGTATATATTGATTAATCCGCATAAATCACCAGCCAAAGCCATGTCATGGGAAACCTCAAAACCTGCCTATAAGTCGAGACTGGACCAGGGGGGACAAAATGGCTAATAGCTATTCTGTTAAATATCTTAGACAGCTGGGTTGTTATGGGGTGTGTTTGTGTGCGCATTAATTTTTTATTTGTGTCTTTTTTATGCTTTATTCTTGTTATGTAACTTTTGTTGGAGAATATGGAAATGGACAGAAAAGTATTTTTCTTATGTTGGAACAAAGCATTTTGAATAACTATAACCTTCTGTCATCTTGTAGTAGCAGACAAGATAATCAGAAATTTGATCTGGCGTTGGTTCAGAATTTCTTGGAAATGAGTGCAGGGACATCTCATTCAGGAGGAATACTAAACTCAGAAGCCAGTCTAGTTACAACACTGATCACTGCTCCAGATGCAGAATTACATGAGGCATAGCCAAGAAGGAACAAACAGCTACCAAATTTCAGTGCTCAGAGTGCAAAGTCAAGTCATGTATAGACCTGTGCTTTTGCATTTACTGCGCAAAAATAAACATTTTACTCATAGTTCCAGCACTGTTTGGGAAGGAAACAACTTTCAGAACTGTAAGTGCTCTGCCGTTGGATTTATGTACATGATATCTTGTTTTATTTCAGGCATCTGTTAGCTTTTTTTAATAGTGATATTTATGCTAGTAAAAGAGTAGTATTATAAATTTAGCAGTATGTAACAAATATTCTATTTTTTCAATGCTGGTAAAGGTAAAAAGAGGTAAAGTTTTCCCTGTGCTTAACTAGTTAAGCACTATGCCATAAAGGCATATGAAGGAGTGGAGGTATAGCTCCACCTTTCTCGACCTCGGCACTAGATGGAGGTCAGTGGTCTTCTTCATACCCCTGCCACTTTACCTCTGGAGTAAGAGCCCCAATACCCATTGGATAGGAGACTGGGTAGGCCCCAGAGTCCATCTGGATGCTGTGGAGAAGACAAAAATCTTGCATTGCTGGAAGTTTAACCCATGCCAACCAGCTCATAGCCCGTCTGGTACCTTTACTAATTAAAATCTGGCCACCAACCTGAGGATTTAAATCACCTGTTCCTGTATGGAAAAAAAAAAGTTGAATCAATTAATGGACAACCTTTCCCTTTAGTCTGCCAAAAACATTCTTCTAGGGAACCAGAAGACCTCAGAATATATGTATGGCCATATATGTGTTATATTATTGAACTGATGGGCTATTAGGTTATGTAACAATACAAGAATTAAAAACAAATAGTGAAACATTTTTCATAAATAGTGTCATTAAATAAAATAAATGTTGTATATCCTTTGTTCAGTATTTAGATGTGTTTTAGTTAAATGCCTTGTATCTTTATTGCTTTGACATTATTTTTAGAAAATTATTTCTGAAGATGTGTACTCTCAGGTAAAAACATCTTTCTTGGATTTAGAAAGTATCATTCAGGAAAATATGTTTTGTAAAATTTATAGAAAGAAATATTTTGTTTATCTGTGGGGGTTTGTTGATGCTCAGTCCATTACATAAATTTTTACTGTCCTTTCTATACTCATACTGGAAGATAAAGAAAGTATGTAAATAGTGTTTAAGTCTGTGAATATACCGAAATTGTTAGTAAAAATTTCAATTTATTCCCAGAACTGTGACCACGAATTTGAAGAAAATAAAAATATCTCTATGAAAGGAAAAAGCAAACAAAAAATGATTACATTGCAGAACTTAACAAGTTGGTTTGGCTTTTAATCTGAAGTTTCTTAGGCCTTATAAAAAATTATCTATTTCAGCGTCTGAGCCGACCAGAGGTTTTGGAGAATATTATGATGGCTACACCTGGGCTTAGTGAAGATCCAGTTGCAATCTCAATTATTCAGGATCCAGATTTGCTTGTTCATATGGAAAATGCAGACACTGTCAGGCGGTAAGTCTGAGGTTATTTACAGGGTTTTGCATGGGTATTTGTTGCAGGGTATCATCATCATTCTGAGGATGATAATGGTGATGTACTCTGTCTGCTGTAGGGTGTGTCATCATCAACTGGCGACATGAACCTTTATCTTATCATTAGACAGTTACCAGAATATATTTTTAACATATTTCTGGCAATCATATGCTAGTGGGAAATTAAAACTTACTTACACAGGATTTTTCTTTCATATGGTTACCTACACAGGACATATCCAGGTTCATAGAATAGATGAACTTTAACATTGACAATATTTATTTAGTTGCTTGATGTAAGGACATCATGATGTGTATACCATTCTGTATTAAGTGGCTTTTGTATATCCATTGCATGGTGTGTCTTCAGGTTAGGAAGGAGGGGACAGTCTTCAGATATGGAGCGGTCTGTAAATGCTGTACGTGAATACCACACCTCCAAATTAGACAGAGCCACAGTCTTGCATTAATTTCCTCTTGTGGAAGCACTTCATGATTTGCTAGATTTGATATTCTCATTGAGGAGACTGCAAAGATTACAAGTTCTAATTCAAGAGAACAAGATGCTTGGTTAAGTATTATGTAGCAAATACATGATACTTTAACCTTTATAATATGTGCAGTGCATTATTTGATAGTGTATGTGTGGTCAACCTAGTGGAACATTGTAATATCAAAGTACTAGTAAGATACCTCATTGTTCTGAGTAAACTTACAGCAGCTGTTCCACTGGTAATATATCCGCTGTTCTGTGCAGTCTTCTGTTAGGGGGCTAGGTGGGTGAGTAGGAAGTCTTAAACAAATACAGTACTAAGTAAATTAAATATTCTTGGGTGTTTGTATTTGGAAGGTGGGGGTGAGAATGAGGATGAAAGATAGGCAGCCATCAGGATTTTCAAACATGGACAACAGTCTGCATTGCCTTGTTATGCTAGACAGAAAGAGTGATACTATTAGCACAATATAATTTCTCATTGTCATGTCATAAATTTTGAAAAATAAAGATGACACTGAAAGAGGGCTAATTTTGGGGAGTGACTCAGTTAAGACAGTCTCATTTTACAGTGAAGGTGCACTTGATGAAGATGGAAGGGTTGGAGGTGCTCACACAAGTGGAAATCAAGATAAAATTCTGTCAAGAGCACAGCACATTTGGAATTTTGGTAGTATCGGTTCTTTTGCTGGTGGTCTTGGTGGACTGAAAATAACAAGAGGCAACAGAAGTTCTATCCTAATTAGTTCCCTTCTCCTAATTTCCATGGACATGATCCACTATAGGTTGCAGAGGCCAATATTAAGACACGCTTGACAGTGGTGAAGATGCTCTTGACTCATGATGTGACTGTATTTTGGCTGTAATAATATAAATGGAACATGATTCTCTAAAGGTTTATGATAGTGGTCAATTCGTTATATGAATGTTGGACATTGTCTGTAATGTGTGTGTGTGTGTGTGTGTGTGATGCAGAGAACGTTTCAGAAATGGATGTAAGTGTTTACTTGGGAAAAGACAGGCAGAATGCAACACAGATGATGGTGAACAGCCTAACTACAAGAGTGGAAGAGGTAGGCCACAAATTTTACATTTATGAAATGTGAAACTATCATCCAATTATATATCATTTATTTTCTTTTCACAGCTCAAATTATGGCAATTGCACATTTTGTTGTAATATAATAAGTATGTCAGCAAAATGAATGCTAGTAAATTTACATAGATAATTTCTCCTCTCCATATTTATTTGATGACCTGTGAAGAAGAGTTGTGAACTGTTGTGAAACTATTGAACAAAAGCATAAATGGATGGCTGTGTGTTCTGACAGCAAGATACCAGTATCAAAATGATTTGAAGAGACAAGTGAGTGAACTTACTGATGAGTATGTACAAACAATCAGCACGAGGTAACTCCTATAGTGAACATGCCATAGCTCAAATACTTATCATCGTTGAAGACAAATTTTCAATATATTCTCTTGCAAATATATTTTACTTGAATATTTTAGCAGGAATAGCCCCAAATATGTATACATTTCGTGAATACTAATACCATTGGTAGCTGAAACACCTGGATTATAATCTGGGCACCAGTGTCAGGATTTAATTCCCACTTTCTGTATAATAAAGGTAAAACTGTGAATAGTAAACTAGGCCTGTATACTTGTTCCTGCAATAAATGATTTCTTTGATGTGTCTTAAATGTATTGTATTTTTTTTCAGGATTGCTGAACTTCATCCAGCCCTAGCTGAAGCAGCCAATCATATAGCAGCTGCTGTTCATGAAGAAGCTGCAACTGGAAATGTTAGCAATCAGGGATCATCTTCGGGATATTCATATTCCCTGGATGCCCTTAGTGATGAAGAAGAAATGGATTCCTCCCAGGTAAGAGGAAACCTGGCTGTTGTATTATTTAAGTATTGGATATTGGGTTGGGGGGGGGGGGCTAATCATTTCCCCAAGCACTCAGACCACTACTGGATCCATTGTGCACCTCTGTTTTTACTAGGCCGTTTCAAAAGACCCCTAGCCTTAGTGCCAGATTCAGAATCTGCTTGATTGAGGCTCTACTATTATCTGTTAACTACAGCCATGCAGAGCCAAAGATCTTCATTCTATGCCCAGCAAAATCTGGCATTGACAAAGTACATCATAGGAGGATTCCTCCTAATGTCCTCATTTCTGGCATATAAGTTTACTTGAGAGGCCTGTAACATGTATGTGTCAGCTGAGTGTACAGTGGCCAGTCAACAGTCCTGTTACTGGCTTACACATTTTCCTGTCTGATACCAGTAGCTCTAGGCTTTTTTCCTGAAGGCCCTTCATTGAAGAGATTCGACAGTCTTGTACACAGCATAGCAGCCCAGTATTTGAAGTGCTTCTTGGTCAGCCACTATTAATCTTGAGTCTACCAATACATGGAATTGCTGGTTTGGGCCTAAGAAACAAATTGTTCAATCTGTTCTCAGCCAAGGCATCTACATCCTCATTGGCCCACTGTGGCCAGGGACCCAGAGGAACATTGTCTTGTTTGTGTTTTTCAAGGTACAAATTGCATATCAACATTCACAAATTTGCTTTGACATAACCAAATGCTTCAAGGTCTTGCAAAGCTGTCTGGATATTTAAGCAAATATAAATTTACTTCCTTGTACAGTCCCTTTTTTGCAGTCCTTTGCAAAGGTTATTTTTGCCTGGAACACTGTGGCATGTTCACCATGTGTGAAGAATAGCCCAAACATTGATGTTGAAGTGAACTTGGTACCCACATTCACAGATAGCATAAGGATTATCCTATGTCCAGGGGTTACTGCTTTGGACGCTGAACACACCCACTGCATAAAACAATATTTTGTTTGTCCAGAGAATATTAGATAAAAGAGCACATCTTCAGTGTGTTGGTGTCATAGCTGTTCACAGAGTTTCATGCATAGAGGACAGTCATCTGGATACAGGTATGTGCTTTACAAGTGGTGGAATGGATGTAGTTGATTGTCAAGAAGTACTTCAAGGATCCTTGGTTTGGATAGTACCAGTTCTCACACAATATTGTGTTAGCCCTCCATGATGCTCATTTCACAGCTGTCTGTCTGTACAGTTTGTGGGCAGCCTACATTCATATGTGCCATTGGTGTTACACACTTCCTGTCTCAGGGCGATGCTGATCCAATAATGAAAACACATTTGCATCTGGATGATGTTGACCAGGATAACATAATGTATATTCCTGTGCAGCAGTACCAGCTCAATTATTGCTGGTATTGAGGGTTTAGGAGCATGTAACAGTATTAGTCACATGTGTATTCCATTATCTTTCAGTCACAACAGACCCCATGCTGTGCACTGTGTATCTTGAGCACACCTAATAACATGCTGTGTATAGCCATGAATATCACTGCTGAGAAGTATGTTACCCCATTTGATGGTGACATTTATCTCAAAAACTAAGCACCTCAGGACATGTTGTGTAACATTTTCAATGTGTTTTTTTTTTAACGGGGTAATATGACAATAATTGAATAACTGAATATGATCCTTGACTTATATCAGTTGTGCCAATATGTAACAGTCAGGAAACAATGTAAATATTTAATGCATTGATTGGTGTGGTGATTTCCCTATGATTGAAACATGTTGTGAATAAAGAAAATATATGAGAATACAGAGAATTTATTTGTGTGATGGTAAAAGCATTATTAATATATATCGTGGAATTGTACTTTTACAGTCCTCTGACTCTCAGCCTCAAGGAAGTGATGGTCTCTCACAGCAGCAGTCCTGCTCAACCATCACAGCAGCTCAGCTTGCTGCAGCTTTGGCTTCTGCTAGTGGTGAGATTGTATGTCCAATACATAAGGAGAAAAGTGAATGACATTCTCCAGCATAACATATTAAGTAACAAAGGAACTAACCCTGTTGTTCAGGTTTTTCTTTGAGCAGCTGAAAATTATTCAGTGTGGAAGAAATTTACACTTATTATGAAACTGAAAAATTCTTCACCGTAATCACAAAATATTTTCATTTTACTCGATCCTCAACTGTTTGATCCATTTTACATCAGCCCGGCATATTTGTCCAAGATCCATTTTAACTTTTAACTAACTGCCTGTCTTTCATTTATTGTTCTCTTGTAAGTTTGTCTGTTGCACCAGAAGTTGAATAATTTCAGGTTCATGCCAGTAAAATCATTTGGTGCAGTTTTGTACTCACTGCACTGGAAGCAACCAAGTGTAGAAACTCGTGCTATAATAGAACACTGCCACAGTATGCAGGTATCCTGTTATGAGATGTGTCTTTGGCCTGAAGACTCAAGACAAAAGTGGCACAAATATATCTGGGAATAATGGTTAGGCCACCTCCTCTTTGGGTAATAACTTTTGAACTGTTACATTTATACCAGTCTTATCAAATTCTTAGAAAGAAGACTATTTATTGTAAAGAAACAATGGCTGTTTATTAACTTAGCTGTTATATCACATGTACCTTGAACATGGTCACAGATAAACACATTGTAAAGGAAATATTTATATTACCAAGACACGATTAAAGTACTGTGATACAGTCATTTGTTACAATGAATGTAGCTGTACTAATTTCATGCATTTTGAAAGGAAGGCAATGCACAGTTGAAATTACATAGAATAATCCTAAAGAATGTTCATTAATTGCACGTATAAAAAATAATTTCAAGACTTTATACACAGGCACTTGGATCCATTTATAATAATCTAGTTCTTTTTTAATCTAGAAGTTTAGAAACCACGTTTTAATTTGTTAAATAACCATTCCACCCAATAAAGTAAAAAGGGACATGAACATAATTGATTTCTATTATCTTTAGATGCTTATTGACTATATATTGAAAGTATAAAAGAATGGTTGTAATGCACAAATAGCATTGGTATAAAGCACCCTGTAAAATCAACTGCATTCCAAAATTCAGGTACAGAGTTCAAAATAACAGTATTGTTGTCAGTCATGATTTTTATATAACACATCTTATTGACTTAATATACTATCCTGTTACATATTTCTGTTAGAATTATGTGTTAACATGAAATATTTATGTTCCTTGCACTGGATATAGGACACACCTGCATTTTCAGACTGCAACTTGAAAAGTGTGATTTGTATATACACAAGTATAATGTGCCCATAAAATATTATAGGTAAGCATTTGTTAAATATAGACTGTTACTGTTATCAGGATTGTTTCCTGTTTCAACTCGTGCCTCTGGCTCTGGTACATCCTTAGCAGCTGGTCCCTCATCTGGTGGGAGCCTCATCACAACAGAGATGTTCAGCCAAGCAATGCAGCAAGCCATTGCCAATGTGGGACCAAATACAGGAGGATCTCATACATCAGGGGATGCTGCAGTGACAGTAAGTATCTCTTTTTGGAGGGACTATGTACCAGATTTGTTATGCTACAGAATTCTTGTGCAGTGAGCCTTGTTAGATACTTATCTGTAGCTTCCATTATTTAAAAATTTTTTTTCAGCTGTATATGTTAATGCAGATTCAGATGACAGAAGTTTAAGAATGATAAATTGACAAGAATATGGAAGAAATGAATGAAGACTATTTTAAGACATCCCAAAATTATACTGAAGAGCTCAATAATGTCACAGAAAACATCACTTACAATACCCAGTCTCATGATCAAGTTTAAAATTCAGGATGTCCGAAAACAGAAGTATTATTCCCATACTGCATCATTCAGTTTCATTGTCAGATGACAGCATGTAGTAGCAGAAGTAATTGCAAAGTACAAGAGAAAGCATGGAAAAAGACATGAAGATCCAGAAAACCGTATATATTTATTTTGGCAGGTTTTTCAATTGTAATTTTGTAGCATTCACTCTAACCTTCTTAACTAATTTTAACCACTAGCATAAAGTGCAGTTGGACGGTGTTTGTTTTTAGACATTTGAATATTTCAGGCAAGCTTTTATAAGAAAATTGATATCTCAAGAACTGTTACACCAGATCAATAAAATAAAAACCACATGACTTTAAACTAAATGAAGAAACTAACCAAATTTTTATATTTTATGGAGTAATTATTTTTTTTCATCAAACCTAAAATTAATCATATGGTTCATAATAAGAAAATAATAAAAAGTAAAAAAGTAAAGGTATCCCCGTAACAGGCCGTGGAGGCCCATAGGGTTGTGAGATGATGAGGTTCCCCCACTTTCTAGACAGTTGGCTCCTAGATGGTGGTAAGGTTGTTAGCCTTATGTGCCAGCCCCTCTTTACCCCCAAGAATATTCCTGGTACTCATTTCTGTTAGAGGCTAAGTCGATCCCAGGGCCATAGTGCAGCTGGAAGGATTAGGTAAATTGAGAAAAATCCAATGACCTCATCAGGATTTGATCCCACGACCTTCCGGCTTGTAGCATAGTGCCTCAACTAACTGTGCTACTGTGTGCCCCCTAAGAATATAATATTTCTATTTTTACTCATGTTTTGTTTAAAAATTGCTACATATGAATCCTTATTGCTTTTGCTTTGCAACTGTTCACATTAAGATTTGTGCTGTATTCTTCAAAGCAGAGATACACAGTCTCCTTGAGTCTTCATATGATTAAGGCCTGGAGATGTAATTTTGTAGGTGTAGGTTTTGGTTTTCCTTTCTTGAGAGGATGGTTTCCCACTTTTCCTCCTCCCATCAAATTTCTCACCAAGTGGAGTTAACATCACAGTAGTAAAACTTGGCCCCACAAGATGACAGAAAGTTACTATGCAAATGGTCAGGTGAAGTTTATGAAAAAGAGATTTTTCATCCACTTGAATGCACATTGATCTAATAGTTATTTGCCATACGATGACTCACTATCATATCCCATATGCATGTTGTAACACTTGACAGTGGATTTCCGATATATATCATAGAAGTTTCCTTATGCTGATGTTCACTGCATGTATAATTCTGTTTCCTTTTATCCATTGTAGTCAAGTGTGTCTGGTTCTAGCTCATATGTGTTTCAGTGTTTCACATCAAAAAGTTATGTGACATTACTACAAAAATTTATTTTTCAAACAGCCAGATCATAAGATAAGCTTATTAGAAGAGAAAAAAAGTTCTCATAAACAATTACATCTGAATGTTCTCCAGAAGCCTCACAAAGCATTTCAAGGTATTTGGTAGTGGATTTACCGAGCTTCATTCAAAACTTGATGCAGACACATTGCTTGATTTTGCCATACAAAGCAGACAAAACGAAACACGAAGTCGAAAAAGTACTTGTGTAAAAACAGTGAGTGTTCACAGTGCAGTGTCACATGGCAGACTGATGCAGTAGGCTTGCAGAAGTGTGACCATGCCCTCCCCTCTCTAATCTTCTTTCACTGAGGCAGTTAACACCAGTCTGGGAACTTCGCGAAATCACCTCATATGTCTGAAACAACCACAGTGAGAGACGAGACCTTGGCCTAATTCCATTCTCTGAATCAGTATGAACACATTCCAGATTAATTGGCATAACTATATCAAAATAATATTACAAAGATGCATGTGGAATTTACATTTGCTTGCCCATATCTCTTATTACTATTACACAAACACACTAATTCTCCACATGTGGTTACATCACACACACTCACCGCCTTAAGACATTGGACATGCACACTTAGGGTGGCCACACACCAACTGCATCAAGACAAGCATCAAGACGTGAGACAAAAGATGCAGTCTTGCTTCATTTGTGATTTGTCAGCATCATGACTCAGACCAGTGTGCAGCAGTTTTCATAATCTCATTTGTTTCAACTATGCTCCCTTCTTTGCATCATGTCGCAGACATTGTGCCTTGATTGTTAGATGTCTTGACACATGCCGGTGTGCGGCCTACCTTACTCCTCGTTCTTCATTATCACTAACTTTCCCATATTACACAACACCACCTCTCTGCATGATACCAGAAGTGCTCAGAATTCCACTTAAAAATAGACTTCTTTCAGATTTCTCAAATCCCATTTTCACAGATGATTCACTCCACCCATTTGCTGACACCCCCCCCCACTTCTCAGAAGTCACACTGGCTAACACTATGACACTTGCCTGATGTCTATCGCTTTGGCAAGTGTGCAAGGTTATAACAATCTCAAGTGCAGAGATTAATAAAGGAAAGCAACTGTAGTAACTACCTATGGTATAACTGTATTTTATATGTAGTAGCACTACCAAGCAACATATGGACTTGTCAGTGATTAGGAAAAGGGATCCAAATGCATTCTTTGGTCATCTGAGTACTGGCACAGATGACTCTGGGTTGCAGGTCAAAATATTTTTCAGATTGCTCTAATGAAAGTGTACCCACTCTTCTTGAGCCTGTAGGCCATCCTTCAAAACTAGTACAGCTGTGAATCAAACAGGAAATAATTATTTCCTACTTGACTCCATCATCTTAATATGTAAGAATGTGGCAGCTAGGTCCAGCCTGGCCAAGGACTCAACTCCACTTAACTGTCTGCCATCCAGGCAAATATATGGCACTTTGTCGGCATTCAAGAAAGTCACAAGCCGATTGGAGTGTGGAGGTGCAGCGGGTTTGATAATTCCCTGTTCAGTAATCATCTCAACAATTTGGTCACATACAGCCTCTCATCGTAAATGGCATAGGTTGGGGCACTCTAGCGGTAAATGGCACATTTTATGTTTGGGCCACTAGAAGACATACCATTACCACCTCTGCAGTTTTATTTAAGGAGACAGTATCCACAAATTACTGAAATTTAATAAAAATTACAAGATCTGTTTCTACAAGCTCTCAATTTTGTGTTTTTATTTGGGGGGGGGGCGGTGTTTTAAATGTGCCAGACATTACTGCTACGAGAAGATTTTGCATGAAAGTAAACCCGATTACTGAATGAGTCATGCAGGTGTGTTACATAAAATCTGTATATTACATTTTCATCCATGAGACCAGAGTTAGTGCCAGTCACACACAACGTAGAAGGAAAGGAGTGTATTACTTATTTGAATGTTCATTGTCATACTAAACGTAATTATGAAAATAATTTGATAGTAATCCTCTTCACTGTCTTTATTAATTAGGCAACAGTGCCATCAGTTGGTGGGGCAGAGACAGGTCCTGGAATACAAGCACAGACAGACATGTTGTCACGTCAGTTACAGCAAATGCATGAATTGGGTCTCACAGATGACACCCTAAATGTTCAAGCACTGCAGGCAACAGGTGGTGATGTTTATGCAGCCATTGACATAGTTTTTAGTGGTGCCCTTCCTCCACATTCACCGTAAGTTCTTTTGAAAACAGTGCTCATACAATGAAAATTGTGATGAAGGTTCATATCTTCCATGTCATAATACATAAATATGAAATTGACATAAACAAATTTATGTTATAGTAAATGAATATGTGTTGGCATATTTGTAAGCATGCATGTCTAGAATTGTATAAAAGGAACTATTTAAAACAAACCCAGATTAAGAAAAAACCTGTTTTATTGTAACACTTTTTTCAGTAGAAATAAATATAAAATTATGGGTAATAAATGGAAGCTTATTAACATCAGTACATATTAAAAATGAAGTTAATGGAAAAAAAGTTGAAAACGTTTGAATGTTTGTGGGTTTCCATTCATATATTCTGTTTTGTGCTTCCTGGAATTTGTTATAAAAGGAAAGTTCCAGTCACAAATGGGAAAGAATGAAGCCCACCGAGGATATATGAATGTACTACTGGAAAGAGCAAGCAAGCATGGGTAGGAATGGGGAGGGGGACGAAAAAAGACAAATGAATACTGTAGTATATACATGTAGAGGGTGACATGCTCATATATCCTAAAAAGCAGGATTAACAACAACTATTATTATTTCTAACAATGGGAAAAATAACATATTTATGTAGAAGTGACTGATAAGAAATACATCAGTGTTGTATGTGGAGTATGAAATATTACTTGAAATGCCATATATGAGTATATGGTCATGTATACCTAACTGAAAATGTGGATTGCAACATGAATTCAGGTACAGGAGAGTAAAATTTTGTTAGTTACTGTATGTGGCATAGAGAATCATCATGATTCCATCCCTCCCTGCCAATTGGTACTGTTTTTAAAGCAATATTTTGCAGATGACTACAGCCCCTAAAATCACGTTCTGAAAAACATAGACGTCCTTACATGAGAGTCCATAGTTAATTTTAAGTTTAATTTCAACCTTGACTAGGTCTTTGCCACATTGGTTTTGCTCTTTATGCTGATAACGAAATGTGAGAGAAAAGAGTTTGTCCACATACACATTATTTGCTGGAGCTGACATCATGAATGATACAGTTTTTATCAAATTGGAAAGTGGCACTTTCTGTTGAAAACACACTTTCGCCCACTTTTCCCTAACACTCATATCCTTAAAACTTGCCATTTGCATCAGATTAGCAATATAACATGCATTACAAACTCTTTATACCCATGATAACCATGGGTTGAAATCTCATCATTGCCATGGCCTTCTGCAGCTCCTCATACCCTATTTCACGTGACAAAATGAAACATTAAGTGTGTTTAAGATAGTTTTTGTCATTGAAGTTGAACCTCTTCATCAAGTATGTGAGAGCATTAGTTTAAAGTTGGCAGGTCTTTCTCAAGTTTAATGGCCTTCTTCATTCTTCTCTCAAGGTTAAGTCCATATATAGATGAAATTATTGGGGATCATCATTGTGGTTTTCGACACAACAGATCAACTACAGATCAGATATTTTTCATTCGTCAGATATTGCAGAAAAAATGGGAGTACGATGAGACAGTACATCAGCTATTCATAGACTTCAAGAAAGCCTACGATTCGGTTAAGAAGGAAGTATTGTACAATATTCTGATAGAGTTTGGGATACCCATGAAACTAGTTAGGTTGATTAAAATGTGTTTAAACGAAACGTATAGTAAAGTCCATATAGGTAAACATTTGTCTCATAAATTTCCTATCCAGAAGGGTCTAAAACGAGATGGTTTATCGCCACTGCTTTTCAACTTTTTGCCTTAGAATATGCCTTTAGGAAGGTCCAGGGAAACCAGATGGGACTGAAATTAAACGGGGCATATCAGCTGTTGGCCTATGCCGATGATGTGAATCTACTGGGTGACAAAATAGATACTATAAAGAAAATCAAACAGACTTTAATTAATGCTAGTAAGGAGGTTGGTCTAGAAGTAAACACAGAGAAAACTAAGTATAGGTTGCTGTCTCATCACCAAAATGTAGGACAAAATCAGTACATAAAAGTAGGTAACATGTTTTGAAAATGTGACACAGTTCAGATATTTGTGAACAACTATAACAGATCAAAAACTGATTCAGGAGGAAATTAAGAGGAGATTGAACTTGGGTAATGCTTGCTACCATTCAGTCCAGAACCTTTTGTCTTCTTGTCTGCCGTCTAAAAACATAAAAATCAGATTATACAAAACTATAATTTTGCCTGTGGTTCTGCTGACACAGTTGTACAAAAATTTGTATCTTGTCTTCAAATTTGAGGTCCTACAAGATCCACTAATAAAGAAAAACTTTCTATGCTCATTCTGTAAAATGATTTAAACGGTTCTGTATCCTGATTNTGCATGTCTATGAGAAAATGTTTCCTCCAGCATAATATCTCTACAAACATCAGTACTTATAAAATAATCATTTGTAATCATGAAAACATCCCAGAATAAATTATTTCTACATTATTATATTTACGCATCCTGTTGCACTCTATACGATATATGATATAAACTCCGTCCTAAGTGCAAACAATATATTATAGGTCTTTCGTCTTGCTCTCCTCTACACTACATGTTTCGGCCACAAACAGCCATTATCAGGTGTATACACTCACAGAGCTGTTACACTGCACTTAGTTTAAAATTTAAAATTTAAAAACACAGGTCTTCCCAATTGTTCCTTTCGTCGTTATTACCAAAATCTACTTCATTGATATCTGTCTGATTTGTACATTATCTTTGTTACTTACACATGTCAATTTTGATTTCCCTGAATTAGCACTTATAATCTTCAGTTCTAATTTTAAAATCCTTTAAAATTTTTCTCTAAATTTTAAAATTTAAGATTGTCAGGGTTACTCACTCTATATCTATAGTGCTGCAGTGGCTACTTTTTGTTTCCAGCACTGTACAGGTGGTATTCTGTGTAGTCTCCCTGTGTGCGTGCTGCTGCTTATCTTTACTACGTGTGCTGTGTTTTATGTTGGTGAGTGTGATACATTGAGGGTCCCACATTATCTAGACAATCAGCTTAAAGATGGTGATAAGGTTGTCAGCCTTACGCGCCGGCTGCGCTTTACTCCCCAGGAAAATTATTTAATTCTGTTACATGGATATATTTACTTTTTACAAGTGACCTTGTAAAGAAGTTTCAATTTGGTAGGATTCTGCATATTCCTTAAAGAAAAAAGTGAAACAGTTTTTACTCTATAATACTAACATTTCTCTAAGTGAGTGAATGCAGTATGTATTCCACTCAAGACACTCTTCTCAGAAGTCTTTCTTCCATCTCACTTTCAGCTGGCTGCTTGCATTACAACCAATATAAATGTTGTCCAGCCATCCTTGTTTAATATTTAACACTCCTGATATTTTGCATACTGATACACTTATGCTGTTATGCAGTGTGGTGGTTCATGACCATCTGAACAATTTATCACCCACCAGTGCTTATTAGTAAGGAAAAAGATGAAAAATTGTGTTCTTATTTAAGTGTTCACATTTTAATAGTTTATATTAACAAAGTGCCTATCTTTTAGAAAACTAGAGGCTCATTCATAATGACAAGAACATTTTAAACATAAGGTCTCTGCTACCCTGTGACCGTCTTGACCGTTCTTGATAGAAATACAATGCTCCCTTGGGTTGGGGAAAGATTCAAACCCCTCTGACCTCTAATGCCCATATGTTGATCCTACAGATACACATACAGACTGACTCTTTTACAGTATAGGTGCTTTAGCAGAGATTAATATAAACCTAAAATTGCACTGACTCAAGTCACTTACTAAGCCAGACAAACTATACCCCTCACACCTGTCTTTTTGGATGTTTGATAATCATAGCAACAAAGATTCATGTGACACTAAATCACTTCAAAACTGTCTATAAATTCAGCCTGACATTTCCTCATCGACTTCTTTTCATGTACAGTGGCAGGTTAGCATTAGAACTCAAATTATATTATTTTCTGCTGCTGCACTATTTCCTTTGAAAATCATAATTATGACTTGGGCTTTTGTTGTAACAGAAGAGACATGCGACGGGAATGGCATGACATTCACCTAGCGCCAAAAGTCAGTGGAAGAAACTTTCATTGAAAAATAAGCTAAAGCCTTGCCCTGGAGGCAGCAGCCTCCATGAACATGTTGCAACCTAAGAAATTTCTTTGCCATTTTTGACAGATATTTTTATGTCATACAAAACAAAACAATAGAAAACTATCACAATATTTTCTGTATTATACTAAAGTTAAAGAAATTAGAATTTCATCAGACTACTTTTTATACATGGTTNTTGACTCCATCATCTTAATATGTAAGAATGTGGCAGCTAGGTCCAGCCTGGCCAAGGACTCAACTCCACTTAACTGTCTGCCATCCAGGCAAATATATGGCACTTTGTCGGCATTCAAGAAAGTCACAAGCCGATTGGAGTGTGGAGGTGCAGCGGGTTTGATAATTCCCTGTTCAGTAATCATCTCAACAATTTGGTCACATACAGCCTCTCATCGTAAATGGCATAGGTTGGGGCACTCTAGCGGTAAATGGCACATTTTATGTTTGGGCCACTAGAAGACATACCATTACCACCTCTGCAGTTTTATTTAAGGAGACAGTATCCACAAATTACTGAAATTTAATAAAAATTACAAGATCTGTTTCTACAAGCTCTCAATTTTGTGTTTTTATTTGGGGGGGGGGCGGTGTTTTAAATGTGCCAGACATTACTGCTACGAGAAGATTTTGCATGAAAGTAAACCCGATTACTGAATGAGTCATGCAGGTGTGTTACATAAAATCTGTATATTACATTTTCATCCATGAGACCAGAGTTAGTGCCAGTCACACACAACGTAGAAGGAAAGGAGTGTATTACTTATTTGAATGTTCATTGTCATACTAAACGTAATTATGAAAATAATTTGATAGTAATCCTCTTCACTGTCTTTATTAATTAGGCAACAGTGCCATCAGTTGGTGGGGCAGAGACAGGTCCTGGAATACAAGCACAGACAGACATGTTGTCACGTCAGTTACAGCAAATGCATGAATTGGGTCTCACAGATGACACCCTAAATGTTCAAGCACTGCAGGCAACAGGTGGTGATGTTTATGCAGCCATTGACATAGTTTTTAGTGGTGCCCTTCCTCCACATTCACCGTAAGTTCTTTTGAAAACAGTGCTCATACAATGAAAATTGTGATGAAGGTTCATATCTTCCATGTCATAATACATAAATATGAAATTGACATAAACAAATTTATGTTATAGTAAATGAATATGTGTTGGCATATTTGTAAGCATGCATGTCTAGAATTGTATAAAAGGAACTATTTAAAACAAACCCAGATTAAGAAAAAACCTGTTTTATTGTAACACTTTTTTCAGTAGAAATAAATATAAAATTATGGGTAATAAATGGAAGCTTATTAACATCAGTACATATTAAAAATGAAGTTAATGGAAAAAAAGTTGAAAACGTTTGAATGTTTGTGGGTTTCCATTCATATATTCTGTTTTGTGCTTCCTGGAATTTGTTATAAAAGGAAAGTTCCAGTCACAAATGGGAAAGAATGAAGCCCACCGAGGATATATGAATGTACTACTGGAAAGAGCAAGCAAGCATGGGTAGGAATGGGGAGGGGGACGAAAAAAGACAAATGAATACTGTAGTATATACATGTAGAGGGTGACATGCTCATATATCCTAAAAAGCAGGATTAACAACAACTATTATTATTTCTAACAATGGGAAAAATAACATATTTATGTAGAAGTGACTGATAAGAAATACATCAGTGTTGTATGTGGAGTATGAAATATTACTTGAAATGCCATATATGAGTATATGGTCATGTATACCTAACTGAAAATGTGGATTGCAACATGAATTCAGGTACAGGAGAGTAAAATTTTGTTAGTTACTGTATGTGGCATAGAGAATCATCATGATTCCATCCCTCCCTGCCAATTGGTACTGTTTTTAAAGCAATATTTTGCAGATGACTACAGCCCCTAAAATCACGTTCTGAAAAACATAGACGTCCTTACATGAGAGTCCATAGTTAATTTTAAGTTTAATTTCAACCTTGACTAGGTCTTTGCCACATTGGTTTTGCTCTTTATGCTGATAACGAAATGTGAGAGAAAAGAGTTTGTCCACATACACATTATTTGCTGGAGCTGACATCATGAATGATACAGTTTTTATCAAATTGGAAAGTGGCACTTTCTGTTGAAAACACACTTTCGCCCACTTTTCCCTAACACTCATATCCTTAAAACTTGCCATTTGCATCAGATTAGCAATATAACATGCATTACAAACTCTTTATACCCATGATAACCATGGGTTGAAATCTCATCATTGCCATGGCCTTCTGCAGCTCCTCATACCCTATTTCACGTGACAAAATGAAACATTAAGTGTGTTTAAGATAGTTTTTGTCATTGAAGTTGAACCTCTTCATCAAGTATGTGAGAGCATTAGTTTAAAGTTGGCAGGTCTTTCTCAAGTTTAATGGCCTTCTTCATTCTTCTCTCAAGGTTAAGTCCATATATAGATGAAATTATTGGGGATCATCATTGTGGTTTTCGACACAACAGATCAACTACAGATCAGATATTTTTCATTCGTCAGATATTGCAGAAAAAATGGGAGTACGATGAGACAGTACATCAGCTATTCATAGACTTCAAGAAAGCCTACGATTCGGTTAAGAAGGAAGTATTGTACAATATTCTGATAGAGTTTGGGATACCCATGAAACTAGTTAGGTTGATTAAAATGTGTTTAAACGAAACGTATAGTAAAGTCCATATAGGTAAACATTTGTCTCATAAATTTCCTATCCAGAAGGGTCTAAAACGAGATGGTTTATCGCCACTGCTTTTCAACTTTTTGCCTTAGAATATGCCTTTAGGAAGGTCCAGGGAAACCAGATGGGACTGAAATTAAACGGGGCATATCAGCTGTTGGCCTATGCCGATGATGTGAATCTACTGGGTGACAAAATAGATACTATAAAGAAAATCAAACAGACTTTAATTAATGCTAGTAAGGAGGTTGGTCTAGAAGTAAACACAGAGAAAACTAAGTATAGGTTGCTGTCTCATCACCAAAATGTAGGACAAAATCAGTACATAAAAGTAGGTAACATGTTTTGAAAATGTGACACAGTTCAGATATTTGTGAACAACTATAACAGATCAAAAACTGATTCAGGAGGAAATTAAGAGGAGATTGAACTTGGGTAATGCTTGCTACCATTCAGTCCAGAACCTTTTGTCTTCTTGTCTGCCGTCTAAAAACATAAAAATCAGATTATACAGAACTATAATTTTGCCTGTGGTTCTGCTGACGCAGTTGTACGAAAATTTGTATCTTGTCTTCAAATTTGAGGTCCTACAAGATCCACTAATAAAGAAAAACTTTCTATGCTCATTCTGTAAAATGATTTAAACGGTTCTGTATCCTGATTAAGTTCTTTCGAAACAATATAAACACCTGAGTTTAAATTGTCATGGTGTAGCTCCAAATACCATCACATATACAACTTTTAACTGTACTTTCGACTATATAAATGGTTACAATATTATATTTAAGCATCCTGTTGCACTCTATACAGTATATGATATAAACTCCGTCCTAAGTGCAAACAATATATTATAGGTCTTTCGTCTTGCTCTCCTCTACACTACATGTTTCGGCCACAAACAGCCATTATCAGGTGTATACACTCACAGAGCTGTTACACTGCACTTAGTTTAAAATTTAAAATTTAAAAACACAGGTCTTCCCAATTGTTCCTTTCGTCGTTATTACCAAAATCTACTTCATTGATATCTGTCTGATTTGTACATTATCTTTGTTACTTACACATGTCAATTTTGATTTCCCTGAATTAGCACTTATAATCTTCAGTTCTAATTTTAAAATCCTTTAAAATTTTTCTCTAAATTTTAAAATTTAAGATTGTCAGGGTTACTCACTCTATATCTATAGTGCTGCAGTGGCTACTTTTTGTTTCCAGCACTGTACAGGTGGTATTCTGTGTAGTCTCCCTGTGTGCGTGCTGCTGCTTATCTTTACTACGTGTGCTGTGTTTTATGTTGGTGAGTGTGATACATTGAGGGTCCCACATTATCTAGACAATCAGCTTAAAGATGGTGATAAGGTTGTCAGCCTTACGCGCCGGCTGTGCTTTACTCCCCAGGAAAATTATTTAATTATGTTACATGANAATTTAAAATTTAAAAACACAGGTCTTCCCAATTGTTCCTTTCGTCGTTATTACCAAAATCTACTTCATTGATATCTGTCTGATTTGTACATTATCTTTGTTACTTACACATGTCAATTTTGATTTCCCTGAATTAGCACTTATAATCTTCAGTTCTAATTTTAAAATCCTTTAAAATTTTTCTCTAAATTTTAAAATTTAAGATTGTCAGGGTTACTCACTCTATATCTATAGTGCTGCAGTGGCTACTTTTTGTTTCCAGCACTGTACAGGTGGTATTCTGTGTAGTCTCCCTGTGTGCGTGCTGCTGCTTATCTTTACTACGTGTGCTGTGTTTTATGTTGGTGAGTGTGATACATTGAGGGTCCCACATTATCTAGACAATCAGCTTAAAGATGGTGATAAGGTTGTCAGCCTTACGCGCCGGCTGCGCTTTACTCCCCAGGAAAATTATTTAATTCTGTTACATGGATATATTTACTTTTTACAAGTGACCTTGTAAAGAAGTTTCAATTTGGTAGGATTCTGCATATTCCTTAAAGAAAAAAGTGAAACAGTTTTTACTCTATAATACTAACATTTCTCTAAGTGAGTGAATGCAGTATGTATTCCACTCAAGACACTCTTCTCAGAAGTCTTTCTTCCATCTCACTTTCAGCTGGCTGCTTGCATTACAACCAATATAAATGTTGTCCAGCCATCCTTGTTTAATATTTAACACTCCTGATATTTTGCATACTGATACACTTATGCTGTTATGCAGTGTGGTGGTTCATGACCATCTGAACAATTTATCACCCACCAGTGCTTATTAGTAAGGAAAAAGATGAAAAATTGTGTTCTTATTTAAGTGTTCACATTTTAATAGTTTATATTAACAAAGTGCCTATCTTTTAGAAAACTAGAGGCTCATTCATAATGACAAGAACATTTTAAACATAAGGTCTCTGCTACCCTGTGACCGTCTTGACCGTTCTTGATAGAAATACAATGCTCCCTTGGGTTGGGGAAAGATTCAAACCCCTCTGACCTCTAATGCCCATATGTTGATCCTACAGATACACATACAGACTGACTCTTTTACAGTATAGGTGCTTTAGCAGAGATTAATATAAACCTAAAATTGCACTGACTCAAGTCACTTACTAAGCCAGACAAACTATACCCCTCACACCTGTCTTTTTGGATGTTTGATAATCATAGCAACAAAGATTCATGTGACACTAAATCACTTCAAAACTGTCTATAAATTCAGCCTGACATTTCCTCATCGACTTCTTTTCATGTACAGTGGCAGGTTAGCATTAGAACTCAAATTATATTATTTTCTGCTGCTGCACTATTTCCTTTGAAAATCATAATTATGACTTGGGCTTTTGTTGTAACAGAAGAGACATGCGACGGGAATGGCATGACATTCACCTAGCGCCAAAAGTCAGTGGAAGAAACTTTCATTGAAAAATAAGCTAAAGCCTTGCCCTGGAGGCAGCAGCCTCCATGAACATGTTGCAACCTAAGAAATTTCTTTGCCATTTTTGACAGATATTTTTATGTCATACAAAACAAAACAATAGAAAACTATCACAATATTTTCTGTATTATACTAAAGTTAAAGAAATTAGAATTTCATCAGACTACTTTTTATACATGGTTCTTTGTTGATGGTATGAAGTATTTCTTTACTTGTTTTAGTTTTGATTTTATTAGCTAATGTACGGGCACTTAAGATTTTATTTTGACAATGCAGTCTTGTGCCTTTCTTTGCCAGTTCATCAGCAAAATCGTTTCCATTGATGCCAACAAGTGATGGTATCCATTGAATGTATATTATCTTTTTTTGTGTTTTCCAGTAGTTTTATTAGTTTTTTTATTTCAATTATCTGTCTCATGATAGTTCTTTTGTTTGAGAATATGGTCAGAAATAGGAAAACTATGGAAATTAACAGCAAGAAACCCAGAAAAAAAGCTGTTGCAAATTTTCGATTGAATACAGGACATCACTGCCTTGCAGCACATCTGTGTAAGATAAGAATAACACAGAAGAATATACACTGTGCAACTTGCCAGGAACATCATGGGAAAGGAACACCTCCTTCAGTGCCATAATCTTAACAAGGAAATGCAACAAAGCAAGAACTTGAGTGCTGTCTATTGGGAAGCAAGAAGCAAAATGGGTTAAATGATCCCAAATGTAGCCATTGGAAACCAACCAACCAACTTTTTATACATTGAGACATCAAATGTTGGTGGGCCCAGTCACACTGGCCCTTACAGATGGGCAGCCCTACTCCTCTTAGGGTCACTACAGTGTCACCAGTTGTTACAGCCAGTGTTATCTCTGGAAGACAATTCATGTTAACTTCTCCATAACATGGATGTAGAAATCTGGAATATCAATTTGCTGGAGTAGTTTGAAGTCTCCATAGATTGTGTGCTTGCACTTAGAACCAAATGTTTCCTCCAGCATTTCACTGAATTCTGCTAGCTTTTGGGGGTAGTATGACAATCTGAACTGACTGGAAAAGAAAATACAGTTAAGTTATAATTATTATAAGTCATTTGTCCTCTGCTTATTTATCACACCACAAAGAATTTCAACCAAAAATTCAAAATACCAGAAATACCATCAGGCTTTTCCTAAGAAATACTCCCTTACATATCCTTATTTCTCTTTTTTGACACCAACTTCACTTGACCCAAAACAATAGTTCACCATTTGCACCATGTTTCACAATCAGTTACATTCTAGAACGAAAATAAGCTTTTGTGTATGCATGTGAACTTGCATGGGTGTGTGCATATGTGCATGCATGTGCGCCTGTATCCCAACTGTCTAATATCTATATCTAATTGTAAATTATAACATTCTTCAAATAAACAAATAGAACAGTGCTCTTCCCACGTGTGCATATTATATGAAATGTAACATTTTAATCTGCACTGTTTTTCCAGTGTCTGAGTCTGGTTGTATTTAAAATCAGCACCTCATTCATGCTTCTCCAGCCCCCTAATCTGAATGGATGATAGCTAACAGTTGTGTCTAATAATGAACTTTATCAATACAGTCAACTCTCGATTATCCGGGCTAATGGTGGGGATGGAAGTCACGGTTAATCGAAAACCCGGTTAAGCCAAA